TGCATTCTGGAGATTGCAAGAACGGACAACAACCGAATGTTTGAGTTCTTCTATTCCACGATTAACGGAAATGGAACTCCTCAGTTCGTTGGGGTCCGTGCTGCATACGGATTCGGTCCTGATAATTTCAACCGATTCCGACAGCTGACGAGGTCTGGGCATGGACCGTTCATTCAGCTGGCACAGGAGCACTACGTCTCCGGTGAGCGAACGAGAAATGTCTCGCGACACCACCCCCAGTATGGATGGGGATGTGCCACGATCCGCGAGTTCTTCGGATATATGAGCGACTGCCAAGTCGGGCCTCCGAGGGGACAATTGTTCCTTACCCTGCTCCCTTTCGCTCCCGGATCTGGGAAGAACAATGAGTGGGAAGAGGTCTATTTGAAGGTCCGAACGAACCCCGGACGCGAGACATTGTCCGCATCTGCGGCATCCGCTTCCATGCTCCCAGATGGCATGGGATCCAATCGCATGATCGTCTTCGCGATTGATCTTCACATGATTGCCGCAGGCATTAACCCTGTGTCATTTCATCCGAGGGGATACTACGCGATCAAAGACAGTATTCCCCTCGCATGCATGCCGATTGCATACTTCATGGACACGGGTGCGCTGGTGTTCAACACGGCCTTCAAGTATATTGGAGGTCCGAAGTTTGGAACCGGCCCTGCACGAGGCAGCAGAAACCGTGCGTCTTGGCCTCTTGCGAGCTTCGATTGCCCCATGTGCGGCACCGAGTTCCCGGTTGGACTGCACATGTGCCATGCGTGCATGAAGCCGATTCACTACCCTGACGGGATGTTCTACGCCGATCTCCGGAATCCGTTCAGGGTCGAGTACTACGGCTCCCACGCGCAATGGCTTAATGAGCTCATCGAGAAGAACCAGCTCACCGATTTCAAACTGCATGAATACGCCGCGATTAAGCACCTGAGGAACTTCCCGGTGTCTAGATCTCTCGCCGAGGATCACAGACAGACCGCGTTCTTCGGTGTGCCTCCGATCAAGTGCATCGCGGTGGATACTTCGATGAAAGAAGTGGAGCTGTTCAAGAAGAGTGTGCGCGGAACGATTCAAGGCGCCATCAGATTGGACATCTCCATCGAAAGGCTTGTGGCTGGCATCACAGGCAAAGATGCTCGATGTGGTGTGGAGGAATTCCTCGAATCCAAAGCCATCGCCTGTGCTTCCACGATAGCCAAGCACTTCGGAGCGGTCTTTGCAACATGCAGGGAGAAACCGCTCAGCTACTATGCACGTTGGTCGATTCACTGCCAGCGAGCGTACCGATTGTGTCTCAAGCGTGGATACCTCGCTCCCTTCTACACGGGGGACCAGGTTAACTACACCATTGATGAGGACATGCTTGAGAAGATCCGATTGGCACACTTGCCTCTTCAGAATGCCAACCTGGAAATGAGGCGTAGGGTTCGGCTCAGCACCGAGTTTGGTACTTTGGATGAATTCCGTGCCAAGATTACTGACACGACGAAGTACCAGCGATACATGCGGGTCGACAGCGAGAGTCTCTCCGCCCTCCTTGCCAAGGTGACCCTCACGACATGCTACGGCATCCCTGTCAAAGGGGAGCCGGGGTATATCTCCGACGATGAAGAGAAGGAGATTGAGGGTACCGCCGATGCAACTGCGGCACCCAAGGCAAAGGGCAAGAAAGGTGGCGGGACACTGGGTCAAGCCGCCAACTGGCGTGAGTTGGATCCCTTGGGGCGGAAGCTCATTCCGCACCACTCCGACGAAAAGTTTGGGATCATTGACGAAGGCATGACCGAAGACCTTGACGCCGATGACACGCCCGATCAAAAGCGTGCCGATTTCAAGGCGTTTGTCCGAGACCAAGGCCTTTCAACGAAGCAATTCTTCGACGAAGACAGGGATACTGAAAAGGCATTCTTCAACCTTGTCGATGGGATCAAAGATCAGCTTCCCGATGCCAAAAGCACGGATCCTCTTGGGATGCGGGCCTACGCTGATGTCTTTGAGGCGATCCCTGAGGAGCTGGAAGAGCCCGAGAATCCATTCGATGTGACAGGCCAGCAGGCAAGGCAGCGGGATGAAGTTTCCCAGCTCCGTACGATAACGCCTGCTCAAAGGGAGTCGACAGCCCCCGAAGCTCACAGCATTCCCGTCCCTACAACGGACGAGGACGAAGATGATACTGAGCTTGACGCTGTCTTGAGTCCGGAACCTCCCGCTCCTCGTGTTGGGCGACAGCACCTCGGAGGCGTTGCCCCTGAGGCGATGCCTCCTCCTCCTAGCGAGATGCCACCGCCGCCGAATCCGCCGTCGCGGAAAACGCAGCGACAGAGCTACTCTGCGGCTCATGCTGACGGTGAAGTTCTGAAGGTATCCGGCAGGGCAGCGTATTCCGATAGAATGAAGTTGCCTATGGTGCTGCGGATGAGGACCAAGGTTCCTGAGGAGGACATGGGGAATCCGACGATTGAGGATCTCATCCGAATGTTCCACGCCCCGAACACTCTTCCCGTTGTCAGACAGAGAGCTGCCAACATCATCATCTCGATGAATGCGAATCCGAGAGATGACATCAACATGAAGGCTGCCGGCGTTAGCGAGTCTTATGCCGACGATAGTGCCGGGCGCGAAGCCTCGCCCAGTGGCACTTCCGTCACTACGCAGGAGAGGATTAATACTAGGTTCCCTGCACCTTCCGACAGAACGGCATCGAACCCGCCGGCAAAGGTGCCCCGCGATGGCAAGTGGGCACCATCGATTGCGCGACCTTCAAAAACGCGACCTTCGCCTGCCCGAGTGGTTACTAGTACGGAGGCAAGAGGTCGTACTCAGAAGCGCACTCCTGAGCCTTCTGCCCCGGCAACTACGCCGCCCGAATCCGACGCATCATCTACTGAGCCGCGGTCCCGGACTATGGGCCCAGCCAAGGAGACTACGACCAAAGGAAAGTCTCGAGGCCCCACCGATACAGGGGGCCTTATCGATGATGCCGATTCTGTGAGGCAGCCGAACAAAGGCAAAGGCAAAGGAAAATCCGATAAAGGAAGAGGAAAACAGGACAAAGGCCGAGGAAAGGGCGATAAGGGCAACCGAGAACGAAGCGGTCCAGGACGAGGGAAGGACCGCACACGTAGCCCCACTAATCGTAGGTGACGACCGTCCGAGAAAACGTAGCGATGCATTGTATCACTGTGCGGTGAATCCGGTTGAGTCTTTCTGACCCTTTAGCCTGCGAGTCTGGGTCAGGCGGATTCTGATGGTGAAACCAAACTATGATACAATTTCCGCTACTTCCTCAGCACTCCTTGCCTGCGCCACGCTGAGAAGACCCACAGGGGTACAATGGCTAGCCATGGTATTTTCCTCGTGTGTCCCTCTCTTTTCACGGACACTCGATGCTGCCGAGTTTCACACTCTGAGCGCGTTGAGTCTAATATGTAACCCCCGCTTAGATCCGATGGACGTCCGACTGCCAACGATTATACGGCAGATCGCTACGCGCCTAACGATCATCACAAAGGCTGCGTTTGTACAGCTGTGAAACATAGGTATGATCCAGATGCAGAGACCGACCCACATCTAATGGCTCTTTACTGCTTTAAGCTTTGCTGACCGGAAGAGGTGTGGCTCGGTGCACAATCAGTGTACGTGACTTTCCTAAACTCCGCTCTCCTCACGCGTGAGCTCGCGTCGAGGGGGGTGTGATTTGTCGCGGACATGCGTACATGTGCTTCTGCTTCTCGGTTAGGACTCTGACCAACTTTGTTTCACGAACGCAGCTCGACTGTTCAAGGACCGCATTCGCGAGTCCCAGCAAAAGGTCCGCTAGCGCCTGGGGGTTCTAGTGTTGCCTTTCCTGCTGAACGTCGATCTAACGGTTTTAACCTCTGATCGTTCTGCCTTGCTTTGCTTTGCTGCTTTGCTTGCCTTTTCTACGATTGGTTGCTTTGGGCTTTGTGACCGAGAGTTAAGTGGAATCCTCCGCTTTTCACACTAACTATGTAATCTTCGAGGATTGGTTTCACTGCCCGAAGGTTGTCGCAGCAGCCACCACAACCACAGGTTGCTCACGACCCACTGCAAACGCGTACTCCGACACAGTTTGCATGAGTAATTGTCTCCTTCTTATGAGCTTTACGATTGCTGCCAGCTTCACAATGATCACTACTATCATCAATATGATTTGTCCGTATGGTTATCATCGTTGGATTGCACGAGGCTTTCATGATTATTACCTGCAGCCGCAACTACTGCTACCACTACAACAACGGCTACCTCCACTACTAGTACGACGACGACGACGACTACTACTACTACTGTACTACTGCCACTGCGACTGCTACTTCTACAGCTATGGCCACTGTTACTGCTATAGCTACTATTACTGCGACGACGACCACTACCACTACCACTACCGGTACCACCGCCACTACCACCACTGCCACCACTACCACCACTACCACTTAGCACCACTAGCACCACTAACACCACCACTGCCAACTAGCACCACTTTCACACTACTGCGACTACTACCACTACCACCAGTACTACTACTACTACTACTGCTGCTACTACTACTACTGCTGCTACTACTACGACTACTGCGACTACGACTACAAGTACTGCCTCTGCCACTACCACGACCACCACCACTGCGACTACCACTGCCATTAGTACCACCACCAGTACTACTGCTACTACTACTGCTACTACTGCTACTGCTATTGCTACTGCTACGCTACTACTGCTGCTACTGCTACTGCTGGTGCTGTTGCAGTTCCCACCGTCGTCCGAAAGCGGCTTTGTCCATATCGAAGTCAGATATTATGGTCTGAATAAAGACTGTTGCTGAAGCAGAAGAAGGGGCAACAAAAGCAGTGACAGGTGATAGGCCACCCGTATCGGTGCATCATTTGCGCGACCTCAACTTCCTTGGTATCGCGGGGCCACTTAGCAGGTCTAGGTGGTGCAGATAAAGCCGCAAGAACTGGATGGAATGTGAGGAAGCATTTGGCGCAGCATCGCAAATCCTTCGAAGAGAATGCGGAGAAGGCCCAATGCTCGCGCGTAAGGATCCCATCGCGCTTCATTGAGCACGGTCAATCACTCTTGGTAGTGTGCAGACGCTGCAGCATAACTTCTGCCTCCGAGCGTCTTGAGAGCTTCTGCACAGGGCCCGAGCCTCATTGTGTATCCGCAAGCCTGCAAGCCTCGACACCTGAGTCTATCACGGGTGTCAATGCCTGCCGGGCTGTTGTTTTGTTGCCCCGGATCTGTCGCGCTCATAGTCATCATTAACCAGACGTGAGCAGCAAGAACTGAACGACTGGAAGAAGGGGAACCACTGCTAGAACAGCGCAGCAGCAGGGCTCTTAGTTGCAGTCCTTCTTGTGATGTAGCCGTCGCAAGCGTTGCGGGGGGATCGAAAATCACAGGTAAGACGAGCACGAGGTAACCTCATATGATTGTAACTCGGTTCGACACCCCAGTAACCCCTGCAGTAATCCGACAGCGGCTCTTATGCCACTCAGCCCTGAGAGGCAGAGGCGAGCGACCACTCCTCCAGCGGATCATCCAAGTCTTCAGAGGAGGCTCCTGAGGCTCCTGTAGTGCCACAAGCGAGAAATCTTGACTGTCGTGCTGAAGACGGGGGCTCCTAAAGAGGTTACTGCGAGGGTGGCTAGATGCTAGTGTTGCTTCGTTCCTAGTCCGCGAGTCTTTCAGGCAATGGGATGCTTTGTGTTGGCCGACTTCTTGTCTTTCTGTCCTTTGGTCGGATCTTGCCAACATCTGCCAGGAGACAAATGACGAAGGCTGATGGACAAACGGTGTAATCTCTTTGTTTAGGTTTTTGGGATATTCATACTTCCCGTGCAAGGCTTACGAGGATCTTATGTGCTAATGTGTTCCAAAGGGCGTCAGCGGGCGAAGAGGCATATGAGGTGATGACATCAATGTCCGCACGAACAGAACGCGAAGAACGACGGAATACCCCGAAAGCCTAGACTCCCAAATGAACAAGCCCTATACTCCGTATATTGGACCCTGCCTCTAACAGTAAATCGACCCCACTTTTGAGACCAGTGGGTCTAACCACATTTCATGCGGTTTCGACCACTTGAATATGGGGTTTGGAACACTTGTTTATGGGGTTTAGAACACTTACTTAGGGGGTTTAGAACACTTCTTTCTGGGATTTAGAAGACTTTTTTCTGGGATTTAGAACACTTATGTATCGGGTTTCAAAACACCTACTCCTGGGATGTATTTGGATTTGGAACGCTTATTTCTAGGATTTAAAACACTTAGTTATGGGGTCTAGAACCCCTTGTTTTGGGATATTAGAATGCCTATTTCTGGATTTAGAAGACTTATTTCTGGCATTTAGAACACTTATATCTGGGGTTTGGAACATTTATTCCTGGGATTTTAGAACACCGATTTCTGGGGTTTAGAACTGTTCACCCGGCCAGGAGAAGTGTTCAATTTCCCACCAAAATAAGTGTTCACCGGGCCAAGATAAGTGTTCAACTTCCCACCAAAATAAGTGTTCACCGGGCCAGGATAAGTGTTCAACTTCCCACCAAAATAAGCGTTTACCGAGCCCGAAGTAGTGTTCAATTTCCCACCAAAATGTGCACCGGGCCAGGGTGTTCAATTTCCCACCAACATGTTCAAATTCGCACCAAAATCAGTGTTCACCAAGTTCACCGGGCCAGGAAAGGTGTTCAATCTCCACCCAGAATAAGTGTTCACCGGGCCAGGATAAGTGTTCATTTCTATACCGTCTATACCCAAAACCACGTATGGAGTTACTGCTACCGGAAGGGTCTAATCCATATAGTATTGGTATTCCTTATGATGATGCTTATGCTAGCTTCATAGTAGCCCTCCAGGGGTGACCGGATGGTGGTGGTTGCAGCCGACCCTGTGTCCCAGATGTCATGGTAGCAGTGGTCCCACAAGTCGCAGGGCGACCAGCTGCCGGGCCAGCAAAGCTCCGACCCCACGGGTGAGGCTCAGGAGGGCGACGCGGGCGCATCCTCCGAGGCCAGAATGACCAGATGTATATTTCACGGGGTCCTTTTCTCGAGAGTCGTCAAAGAGATCCAAAAATGTCTGGGGCTCCGCAACTCCTGACGAAAAAAGGGCTCCACATTACAGTGTTCTGGTCTTAGCGATGTCGAACCTGATTAGGGAACCCACGTCTTCTTAAGGGTTTTAATGCGGATCGATGATGTGGAGGGTTGAGGCCATGGGTTTCTTATGCAGTATTTGGTTCCTACATTCATGCGAGAATAACCAGTGGTCAAGTTCATGGTTATGAGGATCATGATGTTTCTGACTGAGGGCAACAGCAGTTTCGAAAGTCCGAAGAACAATACCAACGTTAAAGGTAATTGTGCTACAGCCATCGTACCAATTTTCAGGCTACAGCCGTTGTGGTGACGGCACCCTACTTGCAATACACCTCGGTAATGCTTGTGGTGATATGACTGGTCTTCATATTGTCCGTAGCACCAATAAGCTACCACAAGGATTCGGATTCAACTCTAATGGTACAAGTATTCCGGCGCTTCCAGGGACGTACTCTCCGCCGATTTTGAGTTGGGGCGTTTGCTCGCAGGGCTTCGTGCTGATGAGAAGGCGGAAGCACAGTCCGAGGCTCAGTGCGGCTTTGAAGGCATGGGAGCTCTTTTTCTGTAGAGCTGTGCCATCCACCTGAGCTACCTCCGGACGAAGAGCATGGTGGAGGTGAGGGATGACGAAGAGGAGCAGGGCGAGGAGGAGGAGGAGGAGGAGGAGCAGGAGAAACAGGCCCTAAGGAGGAACAAATGTTCGGACAAGCTACTGGCAATAATCTGCAGGCAAGCTCTTCCTTGCAAAATGTTTCAGGGCGATTGACGATGCTCTTGTCGCTGTAGGTTTCGTCCAGTAATCATCAAGCCCTACATCCATGGCCCCATGTGTGAGCACCGAAGGCCCCGTGGCCAACCTTGGCCTCGCCTGCTGAGTGTGAAAGATGCAGCCCTGAAGGAGGAAATCTCATGAGCTGCAGGAGATTCGGTCTGCTTGCCGAAGCTTGAAATCCTAAATTCTTGTGCGATTTGTTGAAAAGAAACAAGACCTCACATCAGAAAAGCTTTGAAACCCCCAGTCCGCTTGGAAGAACCAATCTCCTGCCCTCGAAAGCAGGGGGAAGGTTAGGTTGACCGGACCCGGGCGAATCCGGGCGATGGATAATGATACGACAAAAGTAGCATGATAGTATTTACAATAGTAAGAGCAAGAATAATAGTAATGACTTAGTGCGGCTGAGGTCTCAAGGAGCCACCGGTGCAGACACTCTCATCCTTGACCATGCTGGTAACTTTGTCTGCAACCTAGGCTCATGACTATGCAGAATACAGTTCAGGGCTGCGTGGTTTTCGAGTAGAGCTGTCCGGCTGTTCACGATTTGCAAGTATGCTATTGTCAGCATCCGAGCTCTGGAAAAGGGGCTCCTGTTAAGCACCCTGAACTTGCTGCCCAGTCGCCTGCAGAGGCAGATGCCAACCTTGCACGCACAACCTTTTACGACTCAATCAAGCATTGCATGGTGACGAACCGCGATTCGTCTTCTGTGCTGGTCCTCGCTGAAGCCTAATTACTTCAGAGGGTGGAGCTGAGGCAGACGTCCAGAAGGTGGAGGGAGCAAGACACCGCTCCAGCGTTGCAGGTGGGGCGTTTCTGAGAGAGCACTCTTCGTCGACCTCCACACTGGGAGTCAAAGCGGGAAGTCTTGGCAGGTCGTGCTTGGGTACCTCCTCTGTCTTCGTAGTTGTACAGACTTAGACTTTGCTCTCTCTGAGTACTGAGTAGTGTGGTTCTAGTCTCGGAGCATGCTCTCGGCTGGCACTGATGGCCAGATTTGAACGATGCGGGGCCCACAGCGATGATACCGGCAGTACTCAAGTGATTCTGGTGATTTTGAAGGAAGGGAACGACAGCGATGATGCAGCCAGGCGCTGACAGTAATACCATGATTCATGACAGTCGCCGCATGACCACCACCATCCAGCGCAACCCCATCCCCGTCATCCCACCCACCCGCCAGACCATATCCCCTCCCCTAATCCCAGCTGTCAATCAGCACATCATACAGCCACAGTTGTACGAAACGGCTGCGTGCAGTGCCAAAAGCGCCTTCTGTTTGTCCAGGGGGGTCGACTATTGAGCGATGAAGTTTGTGCCAGGCACTCGAATGTTTGGACGGCCATCGTCGAGGATGAGAGGAACTGCCAAAAGGCGCCGTGAAATCGCTGTTTTGACTACCACCTACTCTTGTGCAAGGTACCCTATACGGTTGGCAGGGATGCTTACCTGCACAGTGTAAGCAACAGCAAACGTACTGTTGACAAGAGTTGGGGCTGTCCATGAGCTGGCGCAAGGAATTCTCTCGCATATTTGGCGTAGGTTGAGACCTGACGAAAGCAGTCGAGATGGACAGCGCTGTAGTCGCAAAAGCTCTGCGCTCTCCAACTGTCAGCTTATCGAAACTGGCCTGCGGCTGCCCCTTCCTGCGTCATCCTTGGCCGCTGTCACTGCTGGAGTTCCCGGAAGTGTTTTGGTTGGCCCTTTACGTTCTAGGTCTAGCTTCCGAACGTGAATCCTGTCAGCCCCTGCCTTGCACCTGCTGCAGAAGCGCACAACTCAGCAGATTCCATGCCTGACTTGAGACCTTGTCTGTGTCCCTGCACCTGAAGCTTCTGCAACTGCAAAGATCGAACTTTCAGCTTGCACCAGGAAAACGAGCGTGGCGAGAAAGGACTTGCAGTGATTATGTGCAGCTCCCCTTTGCTGCCATGTCCGGCATTGCATGTTCGGGTTCGCAGCTGTTATTTAGGTCAAGAGTAGGCTTAAAAACTAAACAGACGGGATTTGCCAGAGCCCCTTCGGATTGGCAGCCGGGTGACAACGCTACTAGTGCGGTTTAGAACTCTATCACAAGCATCTCTGAGACTGGACGCCCCTGCATCAGCTTGCTCCTCGTAGCTTGTTTGGCGGAGGACTCCATCTTCGAGAACCCTGCCGCAGTGTCAAGGTGGGAGGATCGTGCCAGGGAGCTCCGGTCGTCAGGGAACCGGTTTGTGCCTTCATGCCGGAGAGGCGTATCTCGGGAGTTAGGTCTCGCGCAATCTGGTTACAGTCAGCTCAGGTAAAGCCTCTGCTTCAGCTTTCTAGATCCCGTTTCACGCCCTTCCTGGTAGGCGCTTGACAGATGACTCGGCACGGAGCGCTGCTTTGGCGCAGGTGCTGCAGATGGCAACTCGCTGGCAGTTGAATCTTTTTGAAGTCTTCAGCACGCAGCTCGTGCGTGAAACTCGTGTGAACGACTGCTGCCGCCACCGCCGCTACCACCACGACCGCGACGCCGAAAATGACGACCAACCCCACGACCGCAGCTGCCCCCCAACCGCCGCCGCCACCCCCACCACCACTGCACCACCACCACCACCAACAACCACCACCACTTCTCTGACAACTGAGCGAGCCTAAATTACTCCGACACCCGATTCTACGAAGACCCCTACATTAGTCTGAAGTCTCAAAAAAACAGAGGCGCAGAGAGAGAGAGAGAGAGAGAGAGGGAGAGAGTGACCCTTGTACCCTACAAATGTCTGAGAGGCCCACTGCACCATGTCATGTAGGCAAGATGAGCGAGCAGAGCCACACGAAACCCAACCTCATGTTGAAACCTATTGGCATGCAGAGTTTTGTAACTGCTTGCTTTCGGGGGCGGGGCACGTCGGGGCGGAACACCCGCTCTAGCTCGGTTTGCTGGGGCAGCGGCATCGCCTAGCGACAGCAGACCCTTTGCCAGCGCAGCCAATGATGTGTGTCGGTACCGTTGCAGGGGATGCCAAGGCCCAGTAGCACTAGCCTACCGCATGAAATACCATGCACTCCGCCAACAGCCCCCGCTGGGAGGCGTGCCCCTCAAGCCTGGCGAAAGAAAGAGTGATACTGTGAGTGTCTAATAGACGGACAAGAGAGTAGACGAAGTAGGCGGCAGAGCCATCCTTCCGGCCTGGTTGCCATGATCGCCCAGAAAGTGAGGGTTGTCTTCCTCGCTTAGAGACGCCTGCCTCAACCTCTGCAATGACATTGCAGGCACAGGCCTCAGATGCGGCATCAGCAGACGACGACGCCAGCAAGGTAATGCAGGCCGCCAGCGAGCGGATTCGACGCAAAAGCGAGGCCCCTGCAGGTGATGATCCTTTCCGTTGCAGGGGTTGATCCAAAGATATATGAGCTAGGCCACCCGAGCCTCGAGCCTTCAGCTCTCAACGGAATGACCAGCTTCGGGTTGCAGAACTTCGAGATGTTGCTTAGGAACTTGGAGCACCCCTCCCCCCCAGTTTTATTTGTTTGCCAGGGGGTAGCCGGGTAGCACACAATGTTCGCACTTCGCAGGAAGAGGCGCTTCTTTTGGCAGGCGGGCTGTGCCTACTTGACTGGAGCTTTCGGTAAATCCTTGCAAAGGATGACCACCTGCAGTGTCTGGAAGTTCAACATCCGGCACATTCTCACATGTTGACCCTGTGGACTCGTTGCGACAACATGCTTGCCGAAATCATGTCAGCCATTTGAGCTCAGTGATGTCTTCGTCTCCGTTCGCTGTGAGCCTTGACATGCCAGAATCCAGCATGCTAGGTTCTTTGGGAGGATTGGGGAGTCCCTCGGAGAGCCAAGTGTTCCACGATCTGACGGTCAAGACAGTAAACGAGGTGGCCAAAGGAAGTGGCGACCCGAGTTGAGTCATTGATCCATTCTTTGCAGTCCTTGGCCAAGGCGCGCATAGAGTCCAAGCAGAATTCCACCATCGAGCATAATTCTGCAATCATTAAACAACAATTGGACACTATCACCGAATTGAACAAAGAGATCAACAACATGCGCTTACAGAAGGAAAGTTTGGAGAAGGTGCTCCCGGCACCGACAGTGTCGGAGGCGGCTGCAACGGCGGAGCGGGTGCCACAGATACCCTCGGCACCGATAGTGTCGGAGGTGGTGCCAGCGGCAGAGCAAGTGCCGCGGAAGCCTACACGCAAGAAAAGGAAGTCTCTTGATGCCGACAAAGAGAATGAGGATCCGAGGCCAGTGTCCAAGGAGAGACGACTTCCAGAATGCAGACGAGGTCGCCGTGCAAACCTTGATGACAAAGCGGACAGCTTCATCCTGATTCGGTCCTGTGCCTGGATACTATGGTTGATAAACCAGGTGCTGTCCAAGATCATCGAGGGCAAGGCGATGCCGATGCTGCGGAGCAAGACCGGTTGTTGCAGCGGCAGTGGCCGGAGTGGAAGCTTGAAGGGTCCTACGATGAAAAGCTGACGAAGGCAGTCCTTTTTTTTCTGTTGTTGTTTTGTTTGTGCTTGGTGCGTGTCTTTGACAGAGATTTGCAGACAGAAAGAGAGAGTGAGAGTGGGCATGCGAGTGCTCGCTTGAGCGGGAAAAGCGCCGCCTTTCCCGCTGGAGGGGCGCCGTCTGCCGGAGAGGCGCCGCTCCTCCACCAGGCAAGCCGGCGCTATTTTGCCATAATAGCGCCGGCTTGCCTGGTGGAGGAGCGGCGCCTCTCCGGCAGACGGCGCCCCTCCAGCGGGAAAAAGGCGGCCGCCGCGCCACTCTTCCAGCAACCTCCGCCGCCGTCTCCCCCTGTGTCAGGCACGAGCACGGCCGGCCTTGCTGTGGACGCCGAACGTCAAGTATGCCAGGCCGGCCTGGCTGGACAACCCAGGCGGTCTATCGAGCAAACGGACCTCCTTCACGGAGAAACTGACGAAGCTTGAGGCGCAACTGAGGAGGTTGCATTCTCCGTTGACGACCTCGGGGGCTTATACTCTCAGTCTCAACACCCTGGACTCGGAGGCCAAAGCGGTGTTCCAGAAATCGCTGTGGTTCACGGTCCACATGCTCCAAGCCGTGGACGCCAACGGGCTCGCCTACTACAAGGTGGGCCGTAGTCGCTCGACAAACTTGGGTCAACGCTTCAATCGGTATCAAATGGAAATGCTGGCTGTGGAGCCACGTCTTTCTCTGGTCACCGTGCTGGAGATCCACTTGCTGTCCTCGGAGTTCCACGCCAAGCGCTTCGAGGGCAGGATCCACAGGCTCATGTTCGGCTACAAGCCTGAGTTGCTGCTAGGGTCACGATCAAAAACACGGGAGATCTATGTCGCTGCCGCCCTGCCGTATCTGACCGCCCTCTTTGCAGAGACCTCGGCCATGTCGAAGAACGACTTCGCCAACGAGCTCGTTTCCGGATCACTTACAACAAGGGTTTTCTCAGGCGCTGTCCAAGGCATTCCGGACGACAACACTACGGAGGCTGAGGAATCCGACGCCGAGTAGGCGCGTTGTCGTGTACAGACTGTAGTCCGAGTGCTCCAAGCGTGCTGTCACCGAGTTTTAGAAGAGAAGTCAAAAAGAACCGCTGCAGCTGTGAGTGTCCGCCCGATGCCACTTTGGAGACGTTCGAAAAGCTTCTTCAAAACTGAGCTGTTGATTCTGCTGAAGTTCATGCCTGTGGTCGTGATGGGCCGTCAGGCGCCAGTAGGCTGCAGAACTCACAGAAGTGACGGCCTGAAGACTCAGCCAGGAGAAAAATCCCCGAAGTGTCCTGTTTATAAAAAGTTTCGAGGTTCCTAAAATCCCCCGTCCTTCGTTTTGGTCCTTCGGTCCTTCGAGCCAGGAGCCGGGCCAGCACAGGCCGTCGCGCCGAAGCCTCTGCAAGCTCCCACGGACTTGCCAGGCGCGCCGCGCGGCGGGCACGTGTCAAGATGACTGCTTAGCTGCACCCCAGTAGGAAGACGCCAAAAGCCGAAGTCGAATTGGCCTGGCTATAGGTCGAGAGACCTTGTGCCGAAGTGCATGCGTGTATTGCAGTACCTAATGGGAGGTGCGGTGTCGTTTCATGGGCATGCTTTTGGCCGCCGCGCTTCACAACGCCCTGGGACTCGGAAGCATGAGGCAACGCGGCTCGGGCTCACTGCTTCTGGAGAGACAAGCCAATGATAACAGGTTCACTGCCCAGGGTATTTGCGAAGAGAAGACGGGCAGAAGTCTGTCTGAAAACCTCAGGCTGCTGTGTCAGGTTTGGATTGTCCTTGGGACTAAGTGTGTCACCAGCAAAAGGAAACCTCCAGTAATGCCTTGCCATCGGTTTCTGCAGTGTCGGCATGAGTTTACTGTTTCGGGATGCCGATGCTGGTTTGTGAAGCCGCGAGCCCGAAGAAATGTGTACAGCTCCTGCAAGTCAAGCTGGTCAACCCTGCCCCCATGATTCGTGCAGGATGGGGAGAGCAAGCGCCGCAAGGACTCGGAGACGCCAACCCCCTTTATCATGGGATTGCTGGGCAAAGGCCCCGCGAGCGGACTTGCGATTTCGCACATTGCCGAGTCGAGTGGAGTTGTGGCCGAAAACCTCGAGAAACACAGCACATAGCATCTGCATGATGCAGCATTGAATACCCGCCAACCCCACAGCAACGTTCCACCCCCCAAATTCGCAGGTTTTGCAGTGTGCCTAGATAACCTCGTGAAGTATCGCACCTTCCACTTTTGATTTTTGGGAGCTTCCATGCTCACCACCACCACAAGTTGCAGGAACCAGGACAAATTGGTGGTTTCGTTGGTCGTCGTCGTATCATCGTAAAAGAAGAAGTCATGACATATCCAGAAATTTCAACGTACCGTATGCGCAATAGGCCATGGCAGGGTGTGTGCTCGGCGGTTTGGTCGGACTGCTCGTCACGTTTTGCCTTCGGGAGACGGCAGTTCGCCTGCGGGCTGTCAGTGTTATTCTTTCGGCCATCACTTTCACCCGCGGAACCCAGGACCCTAAACTTGTCCGAGTCCTGAGCCCCGAAGCTTCCCTACATCCTGGGAGCCCAGCTCTTTGTGCAGGTTCCTCGCAGCCCGGCTCGCGCGCCGCTTCGCCGGAGGACCCGGGGCCGCCCAGCATGGCAGCCTCGAGGCCCTGGCGAGTCTTGGGGTGTACCGAATAAGTGCATCAGTACAGGCTGTATCGGCCGGGGTCATCGTTTTTCATTAGGCTTTAGCTGTTCTTGTCATTCTTGTCTTCAGTCTCTGGTATATAGCACAGAGTCTTTAGCCTGCAGTCTTTCGTAACGGAGACAGGCCTCGAAGGCAGTCCCTACCCGAGCCCCAGCACACCAAGCGACGATTTTCCGCACATGAGTTCCTCGAGCTATCCCGAGACGTGAGTGTCCCGAACTTGTCCCGCCAAGTTTGTCGAGGCCTCCTCCTGCCAAGACTCGCTCGGCTTCGCGAATCTATCAGGGGCGGCCCTCGGCGGCAGTGCGGGTCCCAGGGAGTCCCAGACGCTGGTTCAATGCCACGAGCCAAGAGCAGCAATGATAATGGGGAAGGCGACAAGGCTGGCGATCCTGCTGCGAAAGAGGTGGCGTCAGAAGGAGTACGCAGATTCATATATTTGCAGTGCTAGCAGGAAAGCAGGAGGAGCAGGAGAAAGCAGAACTTGGGGAGGAGCAGAGGAAGAACAGCGTCACATTGGCGGTGGTACGTAGAGCATAGAGAGTGCATAGTCATGTAGTATATGATACGTGCTACGGTATTGTAGAGCAGAGCAGGGCAGCGCACTGCAGAGCGGAGTCTTGCATAGTCTTGTATTATAGTGTTTTACAGTGTAGTATAGTGTAGCACCAGCTGAAGACAGAAGAGGCTGAAGAAAGAATGAAACATCTCTCTCGCTCGAAAACTGACATACCGAGAGGCAGACTCGTCCCGTAGCGTTTGAGGGTTCAATGTTACGGAGTCAAGTCCAGGGTCCAGAGTTTCGGGTGTTTCCGTTTGAAGCGATTCAATGCCGTGACTTGCAGATGTTTCAATGTCAGGGCCTGACTCTCCCGCTGGCCAGAGCGGAGGACGGAGGTGCGAGGTTTGGGCTAAGGGCTCTTACTAGTACTACTAGTACTACTAGTACTACTAGTACTACTAGTACTACTACTACTACTACTACTACTACTCCTCCTCCTCCTGCTGCTGCTGCTGCTGCCGCTGCTACTAGCTGCGGCTGCCACTGCCACTGCCACTGCCTGTGCTACTGTGCTCCCGCTACTGCTAGTAGTAGTAGTAGTAGTAGTAGTAGTAGTAGTAGTAGTAGTAGTAGTAGTAGTAGTAGTAGTAGTAGTAGTAGCAGTAGCAGTAGCAGTAGCAGTAGAAGTAGCAGTAGCAGTAGCAGTAGCAGTAGCAGTAGCAGTAGCAGCAGTAGTAGTAGTAGTAGTAGTAGCAGTAGTAGTAGTAGTAGTAGTAGTAGTAGTAGTAGTAGTAGTAGTAGTAGTAGTTTGGTTGAGTTGGCCAACGGGTCATCGAGGGGATCGGGTCACCGTAGTCGACGTGTTGCCTGCAGAGCAGAGTCATCGAGACGCTGACAAGTGGGAGCCAAAAAAAGTAGTAGTAGTAGTAGTAGTAGTAGTAGTAGTGGTGGGTAGTAGTGGTAGTGGTAGTGGTAGTGGTAGTGGTAGTGGTAGTGGTAGTGGTAGTGGTAGTGGTAGTGGTAGTGGTAGTGGTAGTGGTAGTGGTAGTGGTAGTGGTAGTGGTAGTGGTAGTGGTAGTGGTAGTGGTAGTGGTAGTGGTAGTGGTAGTGGTAGTGGTAGTGGTAGTGGTAGTGGTAGTGGTCGTGGTGTTGGTGGTGGTGGTGGTAGTGGTAGTGGTAGTGGTAGTGGTAGTGGTAGTGGTAGTGGTAGTGGTAGTGGTAGTGGTAGTGGTAGTGGTAGTGGTGGCGGTGGTGGTGGTGGTGGCCGTGGCGGTGGCAGTGGTAGTGGCGCTGGCGCTGGTGCTGAACGTGGCGTTGACGGTGGCGGTGGCAGTGGCAGTTGCAGTGGCAGTGATGGTGGTGGTGGGGGTGGTGGTGGTGGTGGTGGTGGTGGTGGTGGTAGTATAGCAGCATTAGCAGCAGCAGCAGCAGCAGCAGGAGCAGGAGCAGGAGGAGGAGGAGGAGGAGGAGGAGGAGGAGGAGGAGGAGGAGGACGAGGAGGAGTAGTAGTAGTAGTAGTAGTAGTAGTAGCAGTAGTACTGCTACTTCCACTTCCACTTCCACTTCCACTTCCACTTCTACTTCTACTTCTACTTCTACTACTACTGCTACTACTACTACTACTGCTACTGCTACTGCTACTGCTACTGCTACTGCTACTGCTACTGCTACTGCTACTACTGCTACTACTGCCACTACTGCTACTACTACCACTACGACTACGACGACGACGACGACTACTACACTCCTACAAGCTACAGTGCCTAGAGTACTACCCTCTTACAGTACCCATGTGGCGCCCTTACAGTAGCTTTTAGGTACCATGATCAGAATCTGTGGGTTTGTCAGGTATGCGCCCCTCCGCCGGCAGTGGGGAGCCGGGAAGGCGAAGCAAATCTCCTGATCACTCCAGGCCGACACTCTTGTGTTGCGCTGTGGGGTTGTAGGGTTTAGGGGTTTAGGGTTTAGGGAACCCTAAACCCTAAACCTGAGCGCCGAAACCTGATAGGCAGCTTGTAGACCCGACCGTCAAAGCACACGCACACCAGAGACCCCCCAGACAACACTTGTTAACAGGTGATCCTACGTCCTTAGCCTGCGAATCCACAAGCTGTCTGCCGTTGGAAGTGGTTCTCATTGTCCCGACATGCTGCTGTGCAGTGGCTGGTTTTTCGAATGATTTCTGAACATTGCTGATCTGTCGGAGTCGTCCGGATGTCCGGGTGGGGCCTTCTGCTTCTTTCTTTGGTAGTTTGCTGGCGCAAGGGCGATGCCCGATTAGTGACAGCGCTCTGCTGGAAAGACAAGACTCGTGCTGTCAGAGGCGCAGCAGCGGCGCGAGCGAACATGTCGGGCATCCCAATCCTACCGGCTGCAGGGCTTCCGGTTTTGGTTGAGTATTGAAGGCGAGAAGGGTCACTGACAGGTCAGGCCGGTCAGAGTAAATTCAGATCGGTTCGGATCTTTTTGGTTATTGGTTCTTAAATTTGAATCATCGAAGAACATGCGACGGCTGGCTGTCGCGAGCTAGCAAGTCAACCGGCGGACAGGCAGAAAGACAGAGGAACAACAAGACAGCAGCGAAACACGGCTCATCCAGCTGGTATAGGCGACTCTGCCTAGGACGAGCTTTGCCGACCAAAGGAAACCTGATTGGACACTCTCAAGCTTGATGTCGGAGCCTACGAACTTCAGACCCCAACAGCCAACTGGCCCAGGATGGAGATACTGGGCGCCTCGGCGGCAGCATGCAACGTATCACGGGACTCCTTGATCTCTTGAACTTCATGCGCCGGGCTGTGAACGTCTGAGCCCTGAGTGTATGCAGGTTCACCTGAAAGAGCTTTGCGATGTTCATCATGCCTGCTTGAACAGAAGCACGAGTCCAAAGAGAGGGGTACATTTTGAGTGGGGGAGGATTGCTCTGCACCTGCCACCGCCCGGCAGTAGGATCAAAGTAGTCCTAGTGGTAGTGCCGGTGGTAGCAGTAGGAGTGGTGGGTGGTGGTAGTGGTGGCGGAAGTAGTGGGAGGAGGATGAGCAGGAGGAGGAGTGGGAGGAGTTGGAGGAGGACTTGGAATGGAACACGGGGGCTAGGAGTAGTAGGAAAAAGGAGAAGTGCCAGTAGAAGTAGAAGTAGGGATTGTAGTAGCCGCAGGCTTGCTGGTCAACCCTCGGCCAAGGAACGAAGTATCAGAGGAGGAGATGCGAGCAGACCTGTTCTTGAAGGCAGACCCCGCCTGGGTCTAGCACTTTCCTACACCCGTACCAATTGTTCGCTTTTCAGACATGACGGGTTCGTTGAGGCAGACTTTTCGTTGGGCGCACCAGCCCAAAGACCGTACTTCCTGACCAACCTCAAGCTCCGCAGTTACTATAGCATCTCAGGAGTGCGAGCTTTTTCCCTGATTGTCAAAGCAATCCGTGTTAGCGGACGCATTGGCTGGTAGCATAGGAACATAAATCTAGTTGTCGCGGGCCTGAATGGCCCAGCTCGAGAGCGTCGGTCAATGTGCATGCAAGCCCCGTTATTCTTGTATGGCGTCTGCTCCAGGCCACCTACCTTCATCTTGGAGCATTCAGGCAGCACTACCTGCACCCAAGCCTGAAGGGCCAGTGCCTTGGCAGCAGATGAGACCCTGCATGTCAGCATCTCGGTTTCCCGTGATCGAGTCAACATGTCGAGGATGCGAGGCTTTACCAGCAGAAACATGATGCTTTTTGGGTTGCGCGCTGTACTCCTGGCTTTCTAAACAATTGGCTGCATTCCGAGAGAAGCGTATCCCGTGGATGCAAGGGTTGTCTTGTCACCGGAGTATATGGTGGCTGGCCCATGTTTTGTGTACCACTGTGCCTGTTCTTGCTACTGTCTGTTTGCTGGCTTCTCGACGAAGCTAGCCTCGCCTGGAGAGATTGTGAGTGCCGAAAGCAGGTCATCCCATGGTGCTCATCCCACTCAGGCGGCCTTCGCTGAGCGATGCCATCATGGGTGAGAACGGCGAGGCAGCCAATCCTTTCCCTGTGGCATGTAGGGATAAGGGAATGATGCACGTGCACACACACATCCATGGCACACAAGCTCTTCTGTGCAATCGTGTCTGGGCATGAACTTTTCAGTATGAAAGACCTGCGAAAAATCTGGAAGACTTATAGTAAGCCTCAATGTAAGCTTCAGCCACTGCAAGTGCAAGAATGTGCTGAGCATCCTTCTGTCTTGGCTGCTAAGCTGCTCCCTCCAGCTTCAGGCTTGTGATGTTATGCTTGCTGCTAGGAGCCTGCCCACAGTTTACCCCAAATCCAAAGCCTTGAGCATGCCGGAAAGCCCTTTGTCGAGCAGCAGGTACTCTTCCGCAGCTTAATCGCCCAGATCGTCGAGCCTTGGTGGTATAGGGTCCCGAAATTGATCCAGCCCGGCCCAAAGCAAGACCGATCAATAGTGGTCCCTTTGAGGCATTAAAACGTTCTACTATAACATGCGCTCCCCTACTGAAACCATTAAGGGCCCTATATATGCCCTCTATTTTTCGATTACTCCGCGAGATGAATTGCCAAAGCTCGCCGGCAAAGTGGCATTGGCTGGCGAAATGCTTGCTGCTGATCGCCTACCTTGTATACGAATCGTCGAAATCGCATCCGTGCGAACACCACACCGAGTCCCACTCCTACGTGATACGAGACAATGGATGATTGCGGATTGCAGACCGTAGGCATTGAATCCGTTTCTTCGGGAGAAACTCTCATGATCCGTTTGTCGGAGTCCAAGAGGTTTAGAGTCTAGAGTTTAGAAGGCTGCTCCCTGGTCTGAGGATTTGCCGTCGGAAATGCTTCGGCGAGCTGCTTGGCGAGATGAGGACATGCGCTTTTTGTTGTTGGTGGAGCTTGCGAACTTTGTGCATTCGTCTTGGCCATCAAGCACGTCCTTGCGCCCCGACAAGACAAGGCTGTGCGCCACTTCATCAACACGGAGCGTGCGCGCTGTCTCTTCATCGTGAAGAACTCGCTGATCCACCAAGCGCGATTGGAGCCCTGGGCCTTCCAGCATGCGATCTCATGAAACTGTGAATCCCAGCGCCGTAGGCGGGAGACCTCTTCCCGGATCCCCCAAACGCAAGCGAAGCCAGACCAAGGAGCTCGAGGCCAGTCAAAGAACCATCTCTATCCTGGAGTCGGTGGGCGGCTGAGGGTGCGATGTTGAGAGGATAATCTCGGATAATGGTTCAGAAAGCACGATCTCCGAAGTGGATCTTTCAGCAGATTCACGAAATCCAAAAGGCTTTTGCAGCAGAGTCCCAGTTTCCCTGCATAAAGCCTCTCCAGGCGTTTTGGGGCCTATGAGATAGATTTGCAAGGCTTCAGCCTTCGCGCCCCGTCTCCCCTTGCAGAGGCGTCTCCGAGCGTTTCCTGCTGTTGCGGAAGCGAGTGCTTCGGCCAAGGACCCAGACGAAGTGGAGAGGCAGATGAAAGAAGGAGCCTTGCATAGATCTGTTGGGGGAGGGGCGGTGTCAGTGTTGCGAGGATGCTGCACGCGACTGTTTTGGTTATGCTCTGGACCTGTAGGGACGTGTTTCAAGATTCACACACTGTCAGGCCCGCCTGTGGGCAAAGCTAAGTCGGCATGCGGATAGCGCGGCAAAGCAACAGGAAGCCACAGCCAAAAACAGAGAACGACGACAGCCAAAGCAATGACAATAGCAGTATATAGCTGCAGGCATGCCAAGAACAACAGCGGCGGTCGCAACAACAGCAACTTCGCCAGTTAGAGCAACGGCAAAAAGCACAACACCACCGTCATCACAATTATCATCGTCATTGTCAACATCATCGTCTTTAAGGTTATGCTAATCGGCATGATTGCCTCCATCAGCGGAGATGTCGGCAACAGCAGCAAGAGCAAAGCCAAGATGGATCACACAAACAGCCACCCCAAATCCAAGAACTCCTGCGCAACACATGTGAAGACATCCATCAGCAACAGAAACTGCAGCAGCACCACCACCACAACTACCACAACCACCACAACCACCACAACCACCACCACCACCAGCAGCAGCGGCAGCAGCAGCAGCCGCGGCAGCAGCAGCAGCAGCAGCAGCAGCCGCGGCAGCAGCAGCAGCAGCAGCAGCAGCAGCAGCAGCCGCAGCCGCACCAGCAGCACCAGCACCAGCACCAGCACCGGCACCGGCACCGGCACCAGCACCAGCACCAGCACCAGCACCAGCACCAGCACCAGCACCAGCACCAGCACCAGCAAACAAACAAGCAAACAAGCAAACAAGCAAGTAAGCGAAGCACAGACACAACAACATCTTCACCAACACCAACACCAGCACCAGCACGAGCAACAGCAACAGCAACAGCAACCGCAACAGCAGCAATGGCAATAACAACGACAAGAGCGACGACAATGACGACTGCAACATCACCAGCAACAACAACCGCTTCTGCGGATACTGCTATTATGTGCTTCTACTGAAGCTCCTGCTCCTGCTACTTTTACTGAACGACTGCGGCTGCGACTGCGAACTGCGACCGCGACTATTGCTGCTGCGACGACGGCGACTACGACTACCACTAGCAGCCACACCACCACCACCACCATGACGACGACGACGACTACTACTACTACTACTACTACTACTGCTACTACTACTACTACTACTACTACTACTTCTGCTACTGCTGCTACTACTGCCACCACCACGACCAGAACCATCGCCACTGCTTCTACTTGTCCTCCTGCTGGTACAGCCAGGAGGGCCGCTGTTTCCGGCAATGAAGAAAGCAAAGGAGAGCGCGGCGACTGCGAAGGACGCTTTAGTGCATGGTCTAGGGTTTAGTGTTGCCAGGGCAATCGAAAGGAGCTCACATGCAAAAGCATACCCCGAATTGAAATGGATTCAACCTAGGCCCTACTGCAGTGTCATTGAAGCATACCTTGCACTGGCACCTTTAGAGCAGCCCTTTGAAGGTCCCAACACCGCGTCGACTTCGTTGGCTTGATTATGTTAGTTCCCTGTACTTTGGGCATCTCTGTCTCTCCCTCAGGACACCAAGCCGTCTCCCTCACCGTCGGAGTCATCCAGCTTCTTTGCAGACTTGGGCCTTGATCGCTCTTTGCTTTCAGGCGTTCCAGTGCGATGATGGTTCAGGAGGGATCCCTCGAGTCGCCAAAGCCCTGACTCTAGCGAGTTACGGGGATCTTCCAGCATCCCCCTCCCGTACGCATTAGTATGTATTATGCACTTGCTGTCATTATTGTTATTACACTGACAATTACTATAGTTATAGTGCTCAGAGGCGACTCCAGCAGTGACGAGGTGCCGGGCTTCTGAAACCCGTGGGCAGCCATCGGGAGTTGAGGGTGAACTCGGGACCCGTCTTGAATCCTAAACCAAAATCCCGAAACCCTAAATCCTAAACCCTACACCCTATTGCTCGACAATCCACGTCGTGGGGACTGTGGGCGTGCACGTTTAATTCGTTTTTGATGATGCATAAATACGTCTCAGTGCTTTTGGAGTGCGGGGCACTGTGGGCGTGCACCTTCTTTTTGTTTTTGATGATGCATAAATAGGGCTCAGTGCTTTCATGCTCGTGGTGATGTGTAAATGCTTCATCAAGCAATGAATCGACAGCTTTTGTGATCAAGTGGCTGCCTTCTAGAGACACTCTTGAGCTCAGATTCCTCCATACCCTGTTTGGTTCCCGATCTACGAAAACAGATCGGTCAGCAGGAAGCGTTACGGTTGGCGATCCTCCTGTTCGTTTCCTAGACTCGATCTCCGGGAAAGTGGAACAACTTTGTTTATGCAATATCATTATTAGCAACAGGAATCATGGTAGTCATACTATCAATTTTCGCGTGTTTTATTGGAATGGTAATACGAATACTGCGAACAATAATAGCCAGAGCAGAAACATCAAAAAGACTGACGTCCCAGACGCGCAGATGCTTGTGGGACGGCGTCAGCCAGCGTAAGCTCGGTTAAAATGCTGCCAGCCGGGTAGATGTGCACCACTTTGGCTCGCATAAGCCAGTCCATAGATCTGAAGTCCTGCTTTGAAAGAAAACTGTAGGTGCACAGGAGAAAGGTGCAGGAGTGGTTCTGATCAGGTCCAACGGGCTCTTTGCTCTTTCATCTGGTCTCACCCTCTTGTCCCACACGTTTTCGAAGCGAGGAGCCGGAGAAGCCGGCAGGGGGCATCTCGCCGCCCTCTACCCAGGCCCAGGCCGACGGTGTCAGAGTGTAGGATTGAAGGCACGACTCGGGCGACGTTGTCAGTTTCGCCATTGCAGTTGATAGATGTCACGACGTCTCTGCAACCCCGATTTGCGTTCGAGATTTTTTCAGGCGGTGCATCGTGCTTCGATACGCGGCAAGCTGCGTCGTGCTGGAGTCTCCTGGCAGTTCATGTCGTCTTGGTCCAGGAGGTTGGCAGAGTTGTCGAGGCAGACGGACCTTTGCATTGGCATTGGCACAGCATCTCGGGCGTTCTCTGGCGGTTGCAATGGCACGCGCCAGCACCCAGCCCAGGTGCACAGTTTCATGGCTTTCGCGGAAGGTTTGCATCAGCTAAACAGGCGACCAACTCGTGACCACGTGCCTTGGCAATCATGGGCTGAGAAGCAGCCTTAAAGCTGTTACCGCGCCGGAGCCGTAACTAGCAAATCGGTTGAGCGACCATAAGGTCTGGGTCTGTGGAAAGGGATAAACAAGTAGGCACAGTGGAGCAGTAGTTTCGTCATTCCTCATTCTCAGATGTGCACGAAAACATCCATACTGCAGCCAGCGCATGACTGATCGGCGCGTCGGTTTTCGCAAACGAAACATAGCCATAGCCATCACGCCATCCAAGGCAATACCCCGCACATCCGACGAAATGGATGTGCCAATGCTGCAGATCCGTCTCTCGGATTTGGAGATTGCAGATGTAAGTCTGCATAGGGTTGATATGTGGCTGTATCGGATGCTGTTGCAATTCTACAAGGGTTCCGTTCAGGAGATCTGCTTGTAACGGTTCTGATGGTTTTCAGACGCCAAGTGATGTTGAAGGGTATGATATGGGTACTACATGCAGGAGTTCACGTGGCTTCAAAACTCACTTCGAGGGTCTCGAACGGTCTTTGACGGATGTGGAGGCAGAGGTCAGACACCACAAAGCAGCCTGCCGACCGCTTCAGCAAAGCCTGGAAGCTACTGTAGGCTCTGTCGACGGCCCGCGTCCGCACGTGGCCATGGACGCTGCGGTCCCTCGCTTATGCAATGACAGGATGGCTCCAAGTCGTGTGTGTTGTCGGGTCCTCCCGCATCATTGCAGAGTTTGAACGCAGAGTGAAGTAGACAGAGAGACAGAGAGACAGAGAGAGAGTTTTTTTTTTTTTTATGGGGTTCGCCCTCAGGCCTGGTGAAAGAAAGAGAGAGGCCCTCACAACAAAGGTGCGGGTGTCCTGACCGACCCTTATGCCCGGGGGAGAGAGAGAGAGAGAGAGAGAGAGAGAGAGAGAGAGAGGGATCGTCGGAGCTCTACCCCTGCGAAGCGAAGAGAGATTCCCAAGTGCGTTCCCCATAACATATGAGGGGCGCCTGGAGCATGGGGGTGGACGTCGCTCCTGAAACACTTACCCTTACGAAAGCATTTGGCGGCGAGCGTTCTGATTTGTAGTTACCGATGCATGCATGCTTGCATTCAGCCGCCCCCGCGCTATAGGAAATGGTTCGTTCAGGTTTAAGCTCAGATAGCTGTAGTGCTTTGTGCCTTACTGCCAAAGCTTGGGCGAAGTTGAGCCAAGCTGCAAGTGATCGCATTTTGCAAGATCAGCTTCGTTAATCTTCTTGGGAGCCAGGTCAAGCCCGAGTGATATGGTTGAGGGCGATACAGGCTTGCATTCACTGTCTGCTTTGTTCCGCAGATAAGGCAAACGAGGCTCCAGATCATTCAGCCGTCACCAAAACAGGCCGCAAGACTGGCTCTGGTTGGTGCACTCTGCGACAGAATGTGTTATTTTCAGACTTCTTTCGAAAAGAATCCCCGCGCCTCTTGTGAACTTCTCAGCACTGGGGCCTTGAGTTGCTGCGTGAAGAAATTCTAAAATCTACTGAATGCGCAACTGCAGCGGCGATCGCCTAAGCCTTGCCGCTCTAGGATACAACAACTCGAGAGTTGTGCTGTGTAATTATGTGTGTGTCCCTCACCGTCACTGTCTCTGTGTGTGTGTGTGTGTGTGTCTGTGTGTCTGAGCTTTGCAAGCTTCAGGAGCTTTGCGGTTGCAAGCGCCAGCCTCCTCCGATCGGACTCAGATCCGAAGCGTTAGCCTCTTCCGAATCCCTGGCCCCAACCGACATTCGTCAATCTCCAAACCCCTAAAATTGGACACGGGAGGCTCCATCAAAAAGCGGTTTGGTGGTTCCACGACCTCAACCACCCTGTCCGACCGACTGAGGGAGGCTATCGGGTGTTCTGGGCTTGAGGTTTTGGCTCGCTGGTGGCAAGACGGCTTTACTTCAGCCTAGGGCCTGGGGCCGAACTCGCTTGACGCGACATGCTGTTAAGCTTCGCGGGTCTCTTGCTGAGATCGTGTTTCTACGATAACTCTGTTCTTGTGTCGGTTTTGTAGCTGAAGCTCCCCCGGTGCTCAACTTGTCAGGGCTCTTCAGAATAACCATGGTTCTCGGAATAGCCTGTACAAAGATGTGTGTTGATGGGTGGCTTGGTGTGTGAAACTACCTGGGCTGCTTCACACTGTTTCACTTGTAGAGGCCGCGCCAAAGGGAAGCGGACTATGCAAAGGATCATGCTGTCTAAGGTTTCGGCTCAGAATCCGTTTCTGCGAGCCGAATTGCAGGGTGACAAAGGTTGGAGTTCTTTTTGAGGCATATAGGTTCAAGCGATTGACTGCAGGCATCGGGTGGAGTGGCCCGAGGAGGAGCTTATTCCGAAGCAGCCTCGCCGAGTAATTAGGAGGAGACTATAGGCGCTGTTCGTTTCACCAGGAGTTCACAGCATAGACGCACTCTACGGCGATGCGTACGCCGTACACTGTTTCCGTTCAGGCCCAGCTGGCGGCTGATGCGGCTTCATCATCAAGGCAAGGGGCAGGGGAGGGGTCAAGACAGGATACCTGCCCGTTGCAGAAGGAAGGGAAATTCTAAGAGAGGCAGCAACGGCTACTGAAACAACTGCTGTGAGCATCCTTCCTAAACCCAGACCTCTTTCAGCAGGCAAGGGAGCCATGCGTCGGAGAAGCCCCTGGTCTCTGCGATGTCACTGCAGACGTCCATGCTGAAAACCATGCCCGGCTTGCATGTTGGGACTTCTTGACTTCGGCCCTCCCATCAAGACACTTGAAAAGGGAAAGGGTCGTCGTCTCAAGGGTTTGAGCACATGCCGGGCCTAGGGGAGGTCTGAGTAAAGTGCAGCTTCGCAGGGCCCGAGCTGTAGATGATGATTGAGAGTTTTGGACAGATCGCGGGAGAAATGACGACGCCATGTCGGATATTTTGAGTCCTTTGCAGTAGCACTAGTTACCAGTATAGAGCTGCCACCCCCCACCCCGTGTCGCGAAACAACCGTGGCATCACAAGGCCGCAGGCCATAATTAGGCATTATAGTAATAATAGTAATAATAGTAATAATAGCAATAATAGTAATAATAGTAATAATAGTAATTATAGTAATTATAGTAATAATAGTAATATTACGAAGGATGCAACCTTGGTCATGCCAGCCACGATCTAAGCCGCGTGCCAGGCTAAAGAAGCCGGCGGTCCAGGACTCCAAGAAGCAATCCTCCACTATGAGCCGTTCCCCCGAATGGGTGCTTTACAGGGCTGTCCGTGTTTTGGAGGACCCCCGAGCAGGGTTTTAATGTCACTTTTTAGGTAGAGCCATACTACAGCGATCTGCATCCGATGAAGTTCGGCCGCAAACTACCTTGCATGGCTCCCTCATTTAGATCGGCACGATAAATATCCCAAGCATTTTGCCAGAGTGCTGCTATTTCCTAGGGCCTAGTTCCGCGATAAATGAGCATTGTAGCCTGCATCTGGGATGCGTGGTGCTGCTTGCGTAGCCGATTCGCTCGATGCGACGATGCCGAGAGCCAATGCTTGATGGCCAGAGGCATTTGAGAGTTGGGACATGTTGGAATTCTTGAGGCCTCGAAAACACGGAGATGTACCAACAGTTCGAACATTACTCGGGGAGAACCTCAGACTCATGCTGAGGGCTTTCGCAGTTTTTTTTACGTCGTTGGAGTTTGGAGTTCAAGCTCTCAGGCCTGATTGGAGACTACAACTGGGACAAGGCCGGGAGCGACAGACTTTGGGATCCTCAAGCCCCATCTCTCGGAGGCCTCAAGAGCTTCCCTCAATCTCCAGTCTTTGACAGCTCCGTGGCTTCACCGACAGAAGCGATGTTATCTCTGCGAGCTAGATCCACGTAGTTGGATGATAAAACGCCCAGACCCGCTGAACCAGGGGAAGCTTTGAGAGTATCAAGCCGGCAGAATTTGGAGTGCTCAAGTTCGCACCTGGCCCTATCCAGCGCAGAGCCATGGCAGTGTTGTCGCTTTTGGGACTTTTGCTCCCCGTGCTTTCGTCATCCCAGTCCCAAGGCGGAGACTACATGAGCCAGTATGCTGCTCCGTACCAGCAGTACATGCAGGGAGCATCTGGCAGTGGCAGTGATGGCTACCAGAAGTACTACAGCAAGTACACTTCGGAGTACGGCTCCGGTGGCGGAGGGTATGACAAGTACATGTCGAAGTACGCTGGCAACTATGCCGCCAAGTACATGCCGTCGTCCGAGTCTGGCAAGTCTTCTGAAGATGCAGAGAAGCCAGTAAGCTTCGCCGCAGCGGAGGTACGGATTGCACCTTTCGGGTCTATCGGGTGTAAGAGTTCCGCTCTTGGCGAGGAATTCTCCAAGCGACCTATCCCTTAGCCGAAATCCTCGCGAGTGCCGCCCCCGAGGCTGGCTCGGAGAAGAAGAGCAAGGACGAGTCAGCTGGCCAGAACGGCGGCGCCGGTGACTACAAGCAGTATATGGACTATTCCAAATATACTCAGGGTCAGGGCTCGCAGGCAGGAGCTGTGGTTTGGGGAATTCAGGTTGAAGGATTTGCCTGGGATGTGGCATGGGAACATAGCAGGGATGCAGCAAAAAGGCCCGTCATCTATCGTCTGTGCTTGTCAAGTTGCCGGAAGTTGCCACTTAAGGCAATGACGAATGTCTGATCTGAAATTGTTTTTACTGCGGCGTCTTGCTTGGGCTTGCGAAACTTGGTGCAAGTAGCTGTCCGAACACACAGCTCTTCCACCGGCCTTGTTGGCAGGGCGGCGCCGGTGACTACAAGCAGTATATGGACTATTCCAAATATACTCAGGGTCAGGGCTCGCAGGCAGGAGCTGTGGTTTGGGGAATTCAGGTTGAAGGATTTGCCTGGGATGTGGCATGGGAACATAGCAGGGATGCAGCAAAAAGGCCCGTCATTTACCGTCTGTGCTTGTCAAGTTGCCGAAAGTTGCCGCTTAAGGCAATGACGAATGTCTGATCTGAAATTGTTTTTACTGCGGCGTCTTGCTTGGGTTTTGCGAAACTTGGTGCAAGTAGCTGTCCGAACACACAGCTCTTCGCCCGGCCTTGTTGGCAGGGCGGCGCCGGTGACTACAAGAAGTACATGGAATCCTACACCGGTGATTACAGCAAGTACATGAAGGGTCAGAGCTCCCAGGCCAGGTAGTTCCAAACAGCTCTTCATTCCAGCTTGATTTCTGCTTTGAGGACTCGGGCTGCCTAGGGCTCAGGGCTTCTGGGAATCTTGCTTCGTTTTTTGTGCAGTCCTTGTGTCGCAGGAGCTGGGGTTTGAGGAATTCAGGCGGTGGTGCCCTCGGCACGTTGCCTCAGGTTCACACACGACGCCATAAACCATCATAAACCCCAATTTATGTTCCATCGAGTTTGCCGTTGCAGATTGCTGTGTATTGGAGTCCTGTCGTAGTCAAAAATGTCCTTATTCCCGAGCATGCATGTCTTCCTGAGAGAGCATGAGAGAGCTTCGCAAAATGCAAGCTTCCTGTCCAGCGAGCGTGCTTGGGCCGACACCCGTTGCGTATCGCACGTGCACCGTGATTTCTTGCTGGTTGCGGGCCGTTGGCTGAGTCCGGGCGGCTGGGTAGATTCCACGTCACGGCTCAAAGCTTTTGTTAGGAATCGCATTTTTACGAGAAAGTTCATGCTAATCCGATTGCAGCCAATATCGGTATCGTTATGGGACTTCGCGCACGCTTCTACGTGAACGCGTTTCCAAAATGTTGCAAAAGGTGAATGCACTTCGAGGAAAAAGAGAGCCAACAAACACAAAAAGCAAAACACACGGTGGGCACGACAGCACTCGCGCGACAGCTGAAAAGTGCTCCAAAGAGCGTTGCGCTGTGCTCGAGCTCCAATGGCCATGAGCTTGCTGGATGTTCTCGCGTGACTCGCCGCGTGACCAGTGTATTTTGCAGGAGTGGTGGAAAAGTTCGAGCTCTCAGCATTCTTATAGTGCAGGAAAATCTTCCGGAGTGCCGACAAGAGTGTTTTGTCTGGCTCCCAATGCCGAATGGTTAGCTATGTTTCGTGGGGGAGGAGCCGCCACAGGGTAGCATGAGAGTGTAGCAGGGTGAGGAGGTGGTGGGTCGTCTATGATAGCTTGCCGGAAGCCTGAAAACGTTTGCGATGGTTTTGACTTTAGCCTCTTGTGGAGAACTTGTTTGCTTGGGTTTGCGAAACTTGGTGCAAGTAGCTGTCCGAACGCACAGCTCTCCGCCGGCCTTGTTGGCAGGGCGGCGCCGGTGACTACAAGCAGTATATGGACTATTCCAAATATACGCAGGGTCAGGGCTCGCAGGCAGGAGCTGGGGTTGGGGAATTCAGGTTGAAGGATTTGCCTGGGATGTGGCATGGGAACATAGCAGGGATGCAGCAAAAAGGCCCGTCATCTATCGTCTGTGCTTGTCAAGTTGCCGGAAGTTGCCACATAAGGCAATGACGAATGTCTGATCTGAAATTGTTTTTACTGCGGCGTCTTGCTTGGGCTTGCGAAACTTGGTGCAAGTAGCTGTCCGAACACACAGCTCTTCGCCCGGCCTTGTTGGCAGGGCGGCGCCGGTGACTACAAGAAGTACATGGAATCCTACACCGGTGATTACAGCAAGTACATGAAGGGTCAGAGCTCCCAGGCCAGGTAGTTCCAAACAGCTCTTCATTCCAGCTTGATTTCTGCTTTGAGGACTCGGGCTGCCTGGGGCTCAGGGCTTCTGGGAATCTTGCTTCGTTTTTTGTGCAGTCCTTGTGTCGCAGGAGCTGGGGTTTGAGGAATTCAGGCGGTGGTGCCCTCGGCACGTTGCCTCAGGTTCACACACGACGCCATAAACCATCATAAACCCCAATTTATGTTCCATCGAGTTTGCCGTTCCAGATTGCCGTGCATTGGAGTCCTGGCGTAGTCAACAATGTCCTTATTCCCGAGCATGCATGTCTTCCAGAGAGAGCTGCGCAAAATACAAGTTTCCTGTCCAGCGAGCGTGCTTGGGCCGACACCCGTTGCGTATCGCACGTGCACCGTGAGCTGAGTCCGGGCCGCTGGGTAGATTCCACGTCACGGCTCAAAGCTTTTGTTAGGAATCGCATTTTTACGAGAAAGTTCATGCTAATCCGATTGCAGCCAATATCGTTATGGGGACTTCGGGCACGCTTCTACGTGAACGCGCTTCCAAAATGTTGCAAAAGGTGAATGCACTTCGAGGAAGAAGAGGGCCAACAAACACAAAAAACACAACACGCGGCGTTTCCAAAATGTTGCAAGAAGTGAATGCACTTCGAGGAAAAAGAAAGCCAACAATCACAAAAAGCACAACACGCGGTGGGCACGACAGCACTCGCGCGACAGCTGAAAAGTGCTCAAAAGAGCGTTGCGCTGTGCTCGAGCTCCATTGGCCATGAGCCATGAGCTTGCTGGATGTTCTCGCGTGACTCGCCGCGTGACCAGTGTATTTTGCAGGAGTGGTGGAAAAGTTCGAGCTCTCAGCATTCTTATAGTGCAGGAAAATCTTCCGGAGTGCCGACAAGAGTGTGTTGTCTTGCTCCCAATGCCAAATGGTTAGCTATGTTTCGTGGGGGAGGAGCCGCCACAGGTAGCATGAGAGTGTAGCAGGGTGAGGAGGTGGTGGGTCGTCTATGATAGCTTGCCGGAAGCCTGAAAACGTTTGCGATGGTTTTGACTTTAGCCTCTTGTGGAGAACTTGTTTGCTTGGGTTTGCGAAACTTGGTGCAAGTAGCTGTCCGAACGCACAGCTCTTCGCCCGGCCTTGTTGGCAGGGCGGCGCCGGTGACTACAAGCAGTATATGGACTATTCCAAATATACTCAGGGTCAGGGCTCGCAGGCAGGAGCTGTGGTTTGGGGAATTCAGGTTGAAGGATTTGCCTGGGATGTGGCATGGGAACATAGCAGGGATGCAGCAAAAAGGCCCGTCATTTATCGTCTGTGCTTGTCAAGTTGCCGAAAGTTGCCGCTTAAGGCAATGACGAATGTCTGATCTGAAATTGTTTTACTGCGGCGTCTTGCTTGGGTTTTGCGAAACTTGGTGCAAGTAGCTGTCCGAACACACAGCTCTTCGCCCGGCCTTGTTGGCAGGGCGGCGCCGGTGACTACAAGAAGTACATGGAATCCTACACCGGTGATTACAGCAAGTACATGAAGGGTCAGAGCTCCCAGGCCAGGTAGTTCCAAACAGCTCTTCATTCCAGCTTGATTTCTGCTTTGAGGACTCGGGCTGCCTAGGGCTCAGGGCTTCTGGGAATCTTGCTTCGTTTTTTGTGCAGTCCTTGTGTCGCAGGAGCTGGGGTTTGAGGAATTCAGGCGGTGGTGCCCTCGGCACGTTGCCTCAGGTTCACACACGACGCCATAAACCATCATAAACCCCAATTTATGTTCCATCGAGTTTGCCGTTCCAGATTGCCGTGTATTGGAGTCCTGTCGTAGTCAAAAATGTCCTTATTCCCGAGCATGCATGTCTTCCTGAGAGAGCATGAGAGAGCTTCGCAAAATGCAAGCTTCCTGTCCAGCGAGCGTGCTTGGGCCGACACCCGTTGCGTATCGCACGTGCACCGTGATTTCTTGCTGGTTGCGAGCCGTTGGCTGAGTCCGGGCGGCTGGGTAGATTCCACGTCACGGCTCAAAGCTTTTGTTAGGAATCGCATTTTTACGAGAAAGTTCATGCTAATCCGATTGCAGCCAATATCGTTATGATCCGATTGCAGCCAATATCGTTATGGGGGCTTCGCGCACGCTTCTACGTGAACGCGTTTCCAAAATATTGCAAAAGGTGAATGCACTTCGAGGAAAAAGAGAGCCAACAAACACAAAAAGCACAACACGCGGTGGGCACGACAGCACTCGCGCGACAGCTGAAAAGTGCTCAAAAGAGCGTTGCGCTGTGCTCGAGCTCCATTGGCCATGAGCCATGAGCTTGCTGGATGTTCTGGCGTGACTCGCCACGTGACCAGTGTATTTTGCAGGAGTGATGGAAAAGTTCGAGCTCTCAGCATTCTTATAGTGCAGGAAAATCTTCCGGAGTGCCGACAAGAGTGTGTTGTCTTGCTCCCAATGCCAAATGGTTAGCTACGTTTCGTGGGGGAGGATCCGCCACAGGGTAGCATGAGAGTGTAGCAGGGTGAGGAGGTGGCTGGTCGTCTATGATAGCTTGCCGGAAGCCTGAAAACGTTTGCGATGGTTTTGACTTTAGCCTCTTGTGGAGAACTTGTTTGCTTGGTTTTGCGAAACTTGGTGCAAGTAGCTGTCCGAACGCACAGCTCTCCGCCGGCCTTGTTGGCAGGGCGGCGCCGGTGACTACAAGCAGTATATGGACTATTCCAAATATACGCAGGGTCAGGGCTCGCAGGCAGGAGCTGGGGGTGGGGAATTCAGGTTGAAGGATTTGCCTGGGATGTGGCATGGGAACATAGCAGGGATGCAGCAAAAAGGCCCGTCATCTATCGTCTGTGCTTGTCAAGTTGCCGGAAGTTGCCACATAAGGCAATGACGAATGTCTGATCTGAAATTGTTTTTACTGCGGCGTCTTGCTTGGGCTTGCGAAACTTGGTGCAAGTAGCTGTCCGAACACACAGCTCTTCGCCCGGCCTTGTTGGCAGGGCGGCGCCGGTGACTACAAGAAGTACATGGAATCCTACACCGGTGATTACAGCAAGTACATGAAGGGTCAGAGCTCCCAGGCCAGGTAGTTCCAAACAGCTCTTCATTCCAGCTTGATTTCTGCTTTGAGGACTCGGGCTGCCTAGGGCTCAGGGCTTCTGGGAATCTTGCTTCGTTTTTTGTGCAGTCCTTGTGTCGCAGCCATTTTGGCTCAAGGCAAAAGGCTCAAGAGCTCAAGTTCGCACCCGGCCGTATCTCCCATTGCCATGGCGGTGCTGTCGCTGTTGGGGCTCGTGTTCCCAGTCCTGTCGTCAGCCCAGGGTGGAGACTGCATGAGGGAACGAGGATATGCCTCCACGCGGGCATCGAGGTGGCTGCAGGGCAAAGGTCGTGTCATCACTAGGGTTGCACCTGCCGATTTTCCTGACGGTGTGCATCCGACACCGCTCTCGATCACCGCCAGTTTGGATAACCTTAGGGCATTCTGGAGCGGCATTTGAGAGCGACCTCGGAGTGACCACTCCATTGCCGTGCATAGATGGAAGTAGTTTGGGCGCCGCCAACGCTTTGTAGGACGTGCCAGGGCTTTATGGTCTCCCGAGGCTCTTCATGCGGCCGCCACGTCCAAGCCAACCGGTGCCGCTGGGCCGGACGGATGGTCAGGGGCTGAAATCAGTACGTGGCCACTCCAGGCTTGGAGTTGCTACAGTACTCTCCTTAGCCGTTGGATGCGGAGGGGCATCTTTCCATGTGCATGGCAGCAGCTGCGCCAAGTTCATCTTCCCAAGGCGCCAGCGGCATCATGAGGGCTGATGGGCTAAGGCCCATAGCGGTCATGAGCATTCTTTGGCGGGTCGTCAGCTCAGCAGCCGCGACACATGAATCGATGCAGAACTGGGTCGATCAAGTGGTTGAGCCAGGGCAGTTTGGCGGCATACGTGCCCGCCATCTCCATCAAGGACTCGGTAAGCTCAGCGGGGGCTTTCAGCGAGGCGCCGCACTCACGAGCTTAGACTTGGCCAAATGTTTCGATTACGTGCATCCCGAGCTAGCGGTGGAGGTACTTGCCGAAGCGGGGTTTCCAGGGATATTGCTGGCCGCGATGTCTCATACCTGGCATCAGGAACGCTTCTTGGAGCTGGGGGGCTACGTCCTTCGTGACCCTCAGGTGGTGAGCTCGGCTCTGCCACAAGGAGATGGACTCTCTCCATTGGCTTTGAACGTGCTTCTCTCGGCTGCTTGCCGGGAAGCACGCCGTTTAGGGCTGCAGGAGTTTGAGCAAAGTATTTTCTTGGACGATCGAGCCTTCACGTCCACCCCGGACGACGTTCCTCGACTCCTTGCTCATTGGGAGGGTTGGTCAAATGTTCTGGGCCTCAAAGAGAATCAGCGGAAACAAGCCATTGTTGCTCGCAGTGTTGCTTGCCGTAATAGGCTTAGGGAACTCGGTTTAGGGCATCTCCTTCGGGATTCGGTTCGGGTTCTAGGGGTTGACCTCACTGCCTCCCCCGATGGCGCTCGCCCCACGGCGGATGCAAGGGTCCACACTGCTTTGGCGATGGGTCGTAGGCTCCTCAACAGGGCCATTCCCGTAGACATCAGGCGTGACTTATGGCGCACGCGCGTCGTTACCAAGGCGAGTTGGGGTCATCTGTTTCAGCCGCCTGCTAAGGAGATCGTTGCTCAATTTGCCGCCCTGTTCAAGCAGGTTGTCTATAGCCACCGGATGGGGCATTCGGGCCTCAGGCAGATCCTGGAAGGTCATGCGATGAGCCTGCCTTTCGCTGCGGGCCTCCATGCTCTCAGAGCGTGGCGCGGTTCAGGGGTTGCACAACAGCTGGCGGCTCAGACCGCTGAGGGCACGTGGTTCAGGACAATTGCGAAATTCTTGCAAAGCCACGGCTGGCATCATGAGGGCGGGGCGGTCTTTAGCACCGCTACCAGACGCCTCGACTGTGGGATCGATCCTCCCAAGCCTATGGAACATAAAATCCGCGCACAATGGCGTCAGCAGCTGCATGAAAACTTCGTTCAAGCCGATCGGCGCGACTCCCGAGCACTTGCCCAATGGGCCTTCAGTGAAGCTCAGGTGCGAAAAGCCATTCAGATCTACCAGTGTGCGGGGTCGGATGGCAAATCAGTTATGGTCGGCGCTGCCCATTCGACAGCGTTCTACGAGAAGCGTAAGCATGGACATGTGGACCAGGTGTGTCCGTGGTGCGAGACGCCGGTGGTTCCCGACTGGGAGCATCTTGCATGGCAGTGCAGTGGAGTGCCAGGTGCCTCGGAGCGGCCCGTCGCCCCTCCCGCGGGGCCTCTGCGGAGGCTGGGATGGCCCGGGGCCCATGAAACATGTGAGCAGGCTAGCCAACGACTCCGATGGCTCGGCAGTGTGCGCGAGGCTGTGCGTGAGCAGCTCGGTGAGGGCAGGTCCGGCGACGCTTAGTGTCGTCGCGGCAGGGCGACCATGACTGAGGACAGATCGTGAGCATGGCGGCCTCTCGAGGCTCATGGAGGCTGGTCGTGCTTCGGCTCGGCCACGCTGCCATTCAAATCAAACAGTGGTGACTACAAGGGGAACGAGGATATGCCTCCACGCGGCGTTCCCGGACCTGGGCCTTTGGCCAGGTACAGAATATCAGCGGCAAGATCGAAGATCCGCAAGATGATGAATTTAGCAGCCTTGGCTCAGGGGGGCTTTGCTGCTACTACAAATTCGAGGAGCTCATTACAAGCACCTACGGGCTGCTTGTTGCACATGTTGGTGGCCAACGAGCTCGAACGAGATGGCGGCGCATTGGCCGGCCTTTCTGCTGCCGGGGCCTTGGGTGGCCGGGCGGCCCTGATTGGCTGGGCGCTTTCGCGTGGGCATGGCAGCTGCTCTTCGATTTTCTGCTGGCCTTGGTACTTGGCGATGCAGGAGCGTGGTGCTGTGCTGTGGAGCCGTGTGGTCGTGGAGAAAGCCGGTCCGCCAGTGACCGGCGGGGTCCTAGGCAGGTTTTTACGCCTCATCCCAAGCGTCGCTCTCTTCGGCAGCGATGGCATGGCAAGGTGCGAGGGAGACAGGCAAGACGTAGAGCTAGGCGGGCGAATCGCGTGTCATGTGCATGGCCGATTGTGTGCTTTCAATGTCGTCTGGCTGCGGGGTGTCGTTTGCCTGACGCACGCAAGGGCAAGGGTTTACATGCACTCCGCCGGCGCAGGGGCTTGGCCAGGTGGGCATTGCGGGTTATGCGCACCAAGGCCACTCAGGACCCTGATTGCAAGGGCCAGGCACGCTGCATGCATGGCAGGCGTGAGCAGAGTGAGCAGCAATTGTTTGGCAGTCATTTTGACAGCAGAGTGCGTTGCGATGCGTCCAGGTGTACAGGTACAGGTCTGGATTTTTCATCTTTTGATTTTGTGAGCTCATGCAATGCGAGCACTGATGTGGTCAAAGAGGAGGGGGAACTTCATAAAAGTGAACCATCTGATGCGCCTCATCTTGTGAATTCGTTTGGTTGTGGAGAAGGCCCGGACGGCAATCCTGGGCGGGAGGCAGGCAGTGTTTGCGACATAATGTGCACGGGCCTGGTACGGGTGCATGACATGATGCTAAGGCCTTCCGAGGCCCCTCGTGCTCCTAGGGGCGGTGCGAAGGGCAATCAGGATTTCCTTCGTGCGCTCAAGCAGCTTGTGGAGGACTTTAGCCCTCAACAAGAGGACAGGTCAGCAAAGGGTAAAGGGTCCAGTCAGCCAGGCCCCAAAGGCAAGGGTGACCCTAAAGGCAAGGGAGGCCCGAACAAGGGCAAGGGTTTGGAGCCTAAGGCAGCAGGCCGCGGTCGGGAGCCCAGTGATGATCAGTTGCTGGCGGCCATTGGCAGGCTTGTTCAGAGGGCCACGGTGAATGGATCCCAGGGGCTGGGCGAGCGCATCAAGCAGGTGCTCGCGAGCGCGGAGGCCGGCAGGCCCCTTGATAGCAGCCGTGCGGAGCGCAAGCGCAAAGCTAAGGCGAGGAAGGCAGCTGAAAAGAAGCAGTCGTTTTATGGTGCCCTTCCCCAGCGCCAGCCTCGCAGTGCCAACCGAGAGCGCAAAGGGCATGATCAGGCAGGGTGGCATGTCGACAGGTCGATGCCTGCTATCACGGCAGGGGAGGCCAAAAGACGCATGCATGAGCAATTGCCTTTGCAGGCCGAGCGGATCCTTGTTAAATCCCAGGACCAAGCCACGGAGCTGAGAGATGGCAAGGGTTAATGAGGTTAAGGGCAAGGTTGCTTTAGTTAGCCAGGGTGACTTGGGTGAGTCTGCTTCCAAATGCGATTTGACGTGCATCAAGGGCGATCGCCGAGAGGTGAAGCAGTGGCAGGCCGTGGCCCTCACACAAGAGGGTTGCCCGGCGACCCCATTGATCCGTAGGCAGTCCACTTTTAAACCGCCATCTCGAAAGTTGCAGACCCTCAGAGTGCTTGCTGCTAAGGCTTTCATGCACACTGAAATGTGGAGGACCCTGCAGGACAGCCCGAAGGAGACGGTGAATCGCCTCTTAGGGCTGCGGGCCCACAAGGCTGAGGGCTGGAAGCTGGTTACCGGGCAAGGGCAGGGAAGTGAGCCGTTTTTCGTTGGTTACGTCACTTTCGAAGCCGATGGCGCCTGCAAGGCCTTAGCTCAGTCGGGACAGAATGGCATCTTCACTGAGCCGTTGGCTCGTGATCAGGCGGCTCGCCCTTTGGTCAGCTGGATAGCACCGGGCGACCTCGGCGGCCTCAGTTACCTAAGGTGTGCCCTGCAGGAGGCAGCTGGAAAACCATTGGCATTACGGAAGGGGCAGGGCGCTTGCCTCGGCGTCCGTGCCCAGAAAGGCGAGGCCATCAAGAGTACGAGCACCTGGCGGGTGAGAAGGGTTCCGCGCAGCTGGAGCGACACTGACGTCATTGCCGCTGTGGAAGGAGCCGCCTTCACAGAAGTCAAAATCTTGAGCGAGGCGCAAGGCAGTCGCCCCTGGTTGATGCGTGGTGTGCTCCCCGATGACACGGGGGACTTGGCTATGTTGATTGAGGCGGGGGCCAAAACCTTGCGCATCGAGCGAGTTCTGGGACGCCAGAAGGCCGAGAGCTTTCGTGAACAGCGTTGGCAGCCACCCAAGGCGAGCAAGCCGGCCCCGGCTGCTCGGCCGCCGCGGGTGGAAAACATGGTGATTGACGACGACGATGACGAGGAGGAGGCGAAGGCGGCTGAGGCGGCGCCCGGTAGCGCAGGTGCCGCGGATCAGGTGCCGACTTCGGGTGAGGCGGCCACGGGGCAGGGGGCCGGCAATCAAGCCAAGCCCGCTCCTAAGGCCAAGCGGCAGCGTGTCGAGCCCTGGGACGAGTTGGAGTGCGGCGCTTCGGGGCATTGCTTTTACAACTGCGTCACCGCTGGCTTTGTCATGAAGACGACGCGTGCATCTTTCGATGAGATCCAAGGCGAGCTGATGGCGAAGGGCAGAGGGCTCCGGAGTAGGGTGGCTTCTTTCATCCAGGGGCACGAGGGTCGGTTCCGGCCATACTTCGAACCAAGCTGCATCTCCCAGGACTCGCCCGATCCTGAGGCCGAGACCGAGCACTTGAAGATCATAGAGGATGGCGACCCGCCGACCTCCTGGCAGGAGTACGTGAAGGCCATCTGGAGGCCTAACAGATGGGCTGACGAAATCAGCTTTAGAGCCACAGCGGCCTTGCTCGGCATAAGCATTCGACTCATCTGTGGGAGCCTGGAGAAACCTAACCAAGTTCTCTCCTACATGAACCCGAAATCCGCTACGGTGCTGTACTTACATCATTCCTTGGGACATTACACTTTGCTGGTGCCCAAAGGAGGGGCCCTTCCAAGCTACATCCCGCGGGACGAGGACGAGCCGATGGCCTCGCAATCTTTCGCCCCTCGCGGTGGTGGCAAGCACAGGCAGGCTCACTCAGCGAGGCAGAGCAATGCCATTGATGACTCGTGGATCCCAGCCCGCGAGGACTCCGATGCCGAGCATGCGCCTCGCAAGGCAGTGAAGCGCGAAGGAACCATTGAGGCCGCCGCTTGCAAAATGGAGCCTCGGGTGGTGCAGGTCAAGCGCGAGCCTTCCCCGATGGAGGCCAATGTCGCTAAGGACCGTGGTTCGAGGGATCGCGGTGGCTGTGCAGGCGCTTCTGAGGCCACCCGGGTTGCTTCTGTCAGGACTCGGCCTCGGGCGGTGCGCAAGCGCCCAGCGGCTGCTGCTAAGGTCAAAAGCGAGCCGCGGCCTAGTGATCCGCCAGGCAAGGCTGGTCGGCGCACGCCGAAGGAGCATGGACCCGCGGAGCGCCGTGGAACTTTGCTAGCGGCACCGCATAAGACTAAGCGCGAGGTTTCGGGGTCAGGTGCGCGTGAGGTCTTGGGGGAGGGTGCCTGGGATTCCAGGGTTAAGGCCGAGGAGCCGACATCACAGGCGGTGGCCCCGCCGCCGGTTGCACCGGAGCACTGGCCGGCTCGGGATGCCAAGCAGCCCAAGGCCCACTGGTCCAAGGTTTGTGCCGAGAAGCGGAGCCAGCAGTTCATGACGGAGCATAAACGTTTTGCTTGGGAGTGCGATGTGTGCAGAATGCGGGTGTCATCAGGGGTGTGGGCCGGCCTCAGGTTCGCCCGCAACAATCACATCCGTAGGCTGCATAAAGGTGTTGACAAGCGGCGCTTCTCCAAGTTGGGTCCCGCGCCACGGCTGCCAATCCCTCTCCAGGTCGACTGCCAGGACCCGACGTGGATGTGCTGGCACTGTGGCTACTTCCTTGCGAAATGCCAGAGGAGGGTACGGGCGAACAGCATTGATGCCCACATCCGTCAGTGCGAGTCTTGCCCTCTGGGCTGGAGCCCGCTGTTGAACATGAAGGCGATTCTCGAGGATCATGGCTTCGCGACCCTTGGGAAACACCAGGCGGCCCTCGCTCAGATGTTCCACAAGGTTGATCTCCGGGTTTATAGGCCGGCTGATCGCGACCCAGTGAAGCAGGAGCCGGGTGGAGGATACGAGCATGATCTCACCGACGACGGCGATGTTGAGAGCAATCCTGGACCGGACAGTTGTCGGGTCCTTTCCTGGAACGCACAGGGGTTCAACCACATGGTTGAGGCCCTTCAGCTGGGGTGCTTCACTGGATTCGATGTGCTTGCGATCCAGGAACCTAACCTGTCCAGGAATCACTTTTTGGAGCTCACCCGCATGACTGAGAGGAAGGGCTTTCATGCATACGCCAGATGTGCCGAGGAGAAGACGGACTCCGCAGGCCGCTACTCGTGCAGAGGTGGGCTCGTCACCTTGGTTCGTCACGGCTTGCCTTCGTTTAGGGTCGGTGATAGGTTCCTTGAGGGTGAGTTTGAGGGTCTTACGGTTTCGGTAGGCGGGTGCCTGTTCCACAATTGGCACCGAAAACCCGCGGGGGACATGGAGCTCTACCAGGCCGCAGTGAGTGACAGTTTGCGGGAGAGGAGCCCGGCAGTGGCCATCGGTGACCACAACGCCGACTTCGTGGACTTCTGCTGTGATCATGGCTGCAAGCATGCGGCCTTGGACGAGTACGGGGTGCCTCGGCCCACTCGTGTTGGAGGCAGGCGATGCATTGATTTTGCTGTTTGTGGCGACGGCCTTAGCCTGTGTGAAACCGAGTTGTGTGAGAGCACCTTCGGTGATCATTACATGTTTGGGTGCAGTGTGCAGGGCTCTTGGAGCCGCAGCGGAGGTGCTCAGCTTCTTAGGGCCAGACCCACTTCGCAGTACCTCCCGCCTGAGGGGGTTTCCACACTTGAGTGGACCCAGCTGCAGGCTGACCATTGGGTGGAGGTCCAAACTCCTCCCGATGGACAGCTCACCACGGAGCAGGAGTGGAGTTGGTTCAATGCGCAGGCCGAGCTCGCCATGCGACGGGCCACTACGGCTTGTGGTGCAGTGCCTAGGGATCCGCAGGGCAGGCGACCTAAGGGTTCAGGCTTCGAGGTCCAGGTGCAAGCCGCGGGAGCCCGCGACTCCAGTGACGGTCAATCGTGTCAGCTCAAAAGGCTGCTGAACCTGCAGGGCAGGCTACGTGAATGGCAGCGCCCGGCAAGCATGGGACGTGACATCAGCGCGGTGCAAGCGAATGTGATTCGCTCGTGGGTGCCACGACTTGGTAGCTTCCCTCAGGACATTGGGGAGGCCCTTGCACTCGTCGCCCAAGGGATCGCCGACGCCCAGCATGAGCGCCAGCGTGCATCCATCAACAGATGGAAACAGAACCTTGCCAATAGGGGCAGGAGGCTTCCAGGTGGCTTAAAGGCAAAGGGCATGTCACGACGCGGGTGACGGCCCATGACACGCCCGAGGATGCGCCGGCTGGCCCGGTGTCGGTCGGCGATAGCCTGCGCAACCTGCGCGACTTCTGGCGGGAGATCTGGGACAGGACTCCTTGTGATCACGAGGCAGCCGTCCGAAGATGGAAGCAGCATGGGAAGCGGCAGCGCTTCAATGGGCGGGCGTGTTCGCTGTGGGAGCCTGCGGCTTTGCACGCGGCCGCTCGAGCCAAACCGGTTGGGGGCGCTGGCCCATGCGGCTGGTCCGGCCAGGAAGTTTCCACGTGGCCAGCCCGTGCTTGGGAAGTCTTTAGTCAGCTCGTTGACCGATGGATGCAGCGCGGGGTTTTTCCTCGGGCTTGGAGACAGGTTCGTCAGATTCACTTGCCTAAGGAGGATGGTTCGACATCCAATGCCCAGGTTCGGGCCGACAAGCTCCGGCCGATCGTCGTCATGTCCATCTTGTGGAGGATTGTCAGCTCGGCGGCGGCCTCCCACGAGAAGATGCAGCAGTGGATCCAGCGTGTGGTGGAACCGGAGCAGTGCGGCGGGATCCGCGGACGCCATGCTCACCATGGGCTCGGTCGTCTGTGTCGGACGTTTCAGGCTGGGGCTGTCCTTACCAGCCTCGACCTGGCTAAATGCTTCGACCATGTCCATCCGGACATGGTGTTGAGGGTCTTGGAGGCCGCCGGCTTTCCCAGAAGTTTGCGTGCGGCCATGGCTCACGCGTGGTCGCAGGAGCGATTCCTTGAAGTCGGAGGTTATGTGCTTCAGGAGTCGCAGCACGTGAGTTCCTCCATGCCACAAGGAGACGGGCTCTCCCCGCTAGCCCTCAACGTACTGCTGGCGGCACCCTGTGCTGCGGCGCGGCACCTGCGGTGCGAGCAGTTCGAGCAGAGCATCTTCCTGGATGATCGCGCTTTCACCGCGAAGCCTGCTGACGTTCCCAGGCTCCTGCAGCACTGGACGAGCTGGTCGGAGTCGTTCGGGCTCAAGGAGAACAAGCGCAAGCAAGCCATTGTGACCAGATGTGCTGCTTCGGCACAGCGGCTCCGCAACTTGGGGCTCGGGCCGCTCTTGTGCAGTTCGGCCAGAGTTTTGGGTGTGGACTTCACTGACAGCTCTGGCGCTCCGAGCCCTACCGCGGAGGCACGGCTCAACGAGGCGATGCAGATGGGCCGCAAGCTCATCAATCCCGGAATCCCTCTTGACATCCGGAGAGACCTGTGGCGGACCCGAGTCATCCCGAAGGCGAGCTGGGGCCACTTGCTGCGACCCGTCTCCCAGGAGATCGCGAAAGAGTTCAGGGCCCTCTTCAAGCGAGTGACCTACGGCCATCGGATGGGCCACAACGGCCTCAGGGGAATCCTGGAAGGCCATGGCATGGATCTTGGCTTCATGGCAGGCCTGCACACCTTGCGCACTTGGCGCTCGTCGGGCTCGGCGCAGGCCCTCCTTGCGAAGAGCACTGCTGGCACTTGGTTTGGGTCGGTCTGCAACTTCTTAGGAGCTCAGGCTTGGCGGCACGAGGGAGGCGGCATCTTCAACACCGCAGCTAGGCGCATCGACTGTGTGAACGAGGCCGCTGCTCCTCTCGAACACCAGATTCGATCGCAGTGGAGGCAACAGCTTCATGAGGACTTCGTGCAGGCTGACAGACGAGATGCCAGGGATTTGCGCATGTGGTGCTTTAGCGAGGCCCAAGTGAGGAAAGCGATCCCGCTGTACCAGGCGGCGGGATCAGATGTTAAGGCCGTTATGCTGGGGGCCGCTCACTCGTCTGCCTTCTACATGAAGGCGAGGGTTGGCCAAGCTGCTCCTCGATGCCCTTGGTGTGATGCCAGGGCTGTGCCGGACTGGGACCACCTGGCTTGGCAGTGCAGCGGCATGCCAGGTGTTGTGGATAGACCGCCTGTTCCCCCTCTCGCTCTTCAGAGGAGGTTGGGATGGCCTGAAGCTGGTGAGTGCAGCTCCGTTGCGGCCCGCAGGCTGCGCTGGCTTGGAAGTGTGCGAGAGGCGGTCCGAGAGAAGCTCGGTCGCGAGCCCTAGGCAAGTGACTCCGGCGGCGGTGCAGGCTCTAAGGAGTGTACGTGGGTTAGGTGGAGCCGTTGGGTTCAAGTGAGTGGCAGCCATGCTTGCATGGCCGGGATGCTGGTCCGTGGGCCACGCAGCCTTCCAAAATCAACGTGGTGACTACAAGCAGTACATGCAGTCCTACGGTGGGGACTACAGCAGGGAACGAGGATATGCCTCCACGCGGCGTTCCCGGACCTGGACCTTTGGCCAGGTACAGAATATCAGCGGCAAGATCGAAGATCCGCAAGATGATGAATTTAGCAGCCTTGGCTCAGGGGGGCTGTGCTGCTACTACAAATTCGAGGAGCTCATTACAAGCACCTACGGGCCGCTTGTTGCACATGTTGATGGCCAACGAGCTCGAACGAGATGGCGGCGCATTGGCCGGCCTATCTGCTGCCGGGGCCTTGGGTGGCCGGGCGGCCCTGATTGGCTGGGCACTTTCGCGTGGGCATGGCAGCTGCTCTTCGATTTTCTGCTGGCCTTGGTGCTTGGCGATGCTGGAGCGTGGTGCAGTGCGGTGGAGCCGTGTGGTCGTGGAGAAAGCCGGTCCGCCAGTGACCGGCGGGGTCCTAGGCAGGTTTTTACGCCTCATCCCAAGCATCGCTCTCTTCGGCAGCGATGGCATGGCAAGGTGCGAGGGAGACAGGCAAGACGTAGAGCTAGGCGGGTGAGTCGCGTGTCATGTGCATGGCCGGTTGTGTGCTTTCAATGTCGGCTGGCTGCGGGGTGTCGTTTGCCTGCCGCACGCAAGGGCAAGGGTTTACATGCACTCCGCCGGCGCAGGGGCTTGGCCAGGTGGGCATTGCGGGTTATGCGCACCAAGGCCACTCAGGACGCTGATTGCAAGGGCCAGGCACACAGCATGCGTGGCAGGCGTGAGCAGAGTGAGCAGCAATTGTTTGGCAGTCATTTTGACAGCAGAGTGCGTTGCGATGTGTCCAGGTGTACAGGTACAGGTCTGGATTTTTCATCTTTTGATTTTGTGAGCTCATGCAATGAGAGCACCGATGTGGTCAAAGAGGAGGGGGAACTTCATAAAAGTGAACCATCTGATGCGCCTCATCTTGTGAATTCGTTTGGTTGTGGAGAAGGCCCGGACGGCAATCCTGGGCGGGAGGCAGGCAGTGTTTGCGACATAAGGTGCACAGGCATGGTACGGGTGCATGACATGATGCTAAGGCCTTCCGAGGCCCCTCGTGCTCCTAGGGGCGGGGCGAAGGGCAATCAGGATTTCCTTCGTGCGCTCAAGCAGCTTGTGGAAGACTTTAGCCCTCAACAAGAGGACAGGTCAGCAAAGGGTAAAGGGTCCAGTCAGCCAGGCCCCAAAGGCAAGGGTGACCCTAAAGGCAAGGGAGGCCCGACCAAGGGCAAGGGTTTGGAGCCTAAGGCAGCAGGCCGCGGTCGGGAGCCCAGTGATGATCAGTTGCTGGCGGCCATTGGCAGGCTTGTTCAGAGGGCCACGGTGAATGGATCCCAGGGGCTGGGCGAGCGCATCAAGCAGGTGCTCGCGAGCGCGGAGGCCGGCAGGCCCCTTGATAGCAGCCGTGCGGAGCGCAAGCGCAAAGCTAAGGCGAGGAAGGCAGCTGAAAAGAAGCAGTCGTTTTATGGTGCCCTTCCCCAGCGCCAGCCTCGCAGTGCCAACCGAGAGCGCAAAGGGCATGATCAGGCAGGGTGGCATGTCGACAGGTCGATGCCTGCTATCACGGCAGGGGAGGCCAAAAGACGGATGCATGAGCAATTGCCTTTGCAGGCCGAGCGGATCCTTGTTAAATCCCAGGACCAAGCCACAGAGCTGAGAGACATGGCAAGGGTTAATGAGGTTAAGGGCAAGGTTGCTTTAGTTAGCCAGGGTGACTTGGGTGAGTCTGCTTCCAAATGCGATTTGACGTGCATCAAGGGCGATCGCCGAGAGGTGAAGCAGTGGCAGGCCGTGGCCCTCACACAAGAGGGTTGCCCGGCGACCCCATTGATCCGTAGGCAGTCCACTTTTACACCGCCATCTCGAAAGTTGCAGACCCTCAGAGTGCTTGCTGCTAAGGCTTTCATGCACACTGAAATGTGGAGGACCCTGCAGGACAGCCCGAAAGAGACGGTGAATCGCCTCTTAGGGCTGCGGGCCCACAAGGCTGAGGGCTGGAAGCTGGTTACCGGGCAAGGGCAGGGAAGTGAGCCGTTTTTCATTGGTTACGTCACTTTCGAAGCCGATGGCGCCTGCAAGGCCTTAGCTCAGTCGGGACAGAATGGCATCTTCACTGAGCCGTTGGCTCGTGATCAGGCGACTCGCCCTTTGGTCAGCTGGATAGCACCGGGCGACCTCGTCGGCCTCAGTTACCTAAGGTGTGCCCTGCAGGAGGCAGCTGGAAAACCATTGGCATTACGGAAGGGGCAGGGCGCTTGCCTCGGCGTCCGTGCCCAGAAAGGCGAGGCCATCAAGAGTACGAGCACCTGGCGGGTGAGAGGGGTTCCGCGCAGCTGGAGCGACACTGACGTCATTGCCGCTGTGGAAGGAGCCGCCTTCACAGAAGTCAAAATCTTGAGCGAGGCGCAAGGCAGTCGCCCCTGGTTGCTGCGTGGTATGCTCCCCGATGACACGGGGGACTTGGCTATGTTGATTGAGGCGGGGGCCAAAACCTTGCGCATCGAGCGAGTTCTGGGACGCCAGAAGGCCGAGAGCTTTCGTGAACAGCGTTGGCAGCCACCCAAGGCGAGCAAGCCGGCCCCGGCTGTTCGGCCGCCGCGGGTGGAAAACATGGTGATTGACGACGACGATGACGAGGAGGAGGCGAAGGCGGCTGAGGCGGCGCCCGGTAGCGCAGGTGCCGCGGATCAGGTGCCGACATCGGGTGAGGCGGCCAAGGGGCAGGGGGCCGGCAATCAAGCCAAGCCCGCTCCTAAGGCCAAGCGGCAGCGTGGCGAGCCCTGGGACGAGTTGGAGTGCGGCGCTTCGGGGCATTGCTTTTACAACTGCGTCACCGCGGGCTTTGTCATGAAGACGACGCATGCATCTTTCGCCGAGATCCAAGGCGAGTTGATGGCGAAGGGCAGAGGGCTCCGGAGTAGGGTGGCTTCTTTCATCCAGGGGCACGAGAGTCGGTTCCGGCCATACTTCGAACCAAGCTGCATCTCCCAGGACTCGCCCGATCCTGAGGCCGAGACCGAGCACTTGAAGATCATAGAGGATGGCGAGCCGCCGACCTCCTGGCAGGAGTACGTGAAGGCTATCTGGAGGCTTAACAGATGGGCTGACGAAATCAGCTTTAGGGCCACGGCGGCCTTGCTCGGCATAAGCATTCGACTCATCTGTGGGAGCCTGGAGAAACCTGCCCAAGTTCTCTCCTACATGAATCCGAAATCCGCTACGGTGCTGTACTTACATCATTCCTTGGGACACTACACTTTGCTGGTGCCCAAAGGTGGGGCCCTTCCAAGCTACATCCCGCGGGACGAGGACGAGCCGATGGCCTCGCAATCTTTCGCCCCTCGCGGCGGTGGCAAGCACAGGCAGGCTCACTCAGCGAGGCAGGGCAAGGCCATTGATGACTCGTGGATCCCGGCCCGCGAGGACTCCGATGCCGAGCATGCGCCTCGCAAGGCAGTGAAGCGCGAAGGAACCATTGAGGCCGCCGCTTGCAAAATGGAGCCTCGGGTGGTGCAGGTCAAGCGCGAGCCTTCCCCGATGGAGGCCAATGTCGCTAAGGACAGTGGTTCGAGGGGTCGCGGTGGCTGTGCTGGCGCTTCTGAGGCCACACGGGTTGCTTCTGTGCGCAAGCGCCCAGCGGCTGCTGCTAAGGTCAAAAGCGAGCCGCGGCCTAGTGATCCGCCAGGCAAGGCTGGTCGGCGCACGCCGAAGGAGCATGGACCCACGGAGCGCCGTGGAACTTTGCTAGCGGCACCGCATAAGACTAAGCGCGAGGTTTCGGGGTCAAGTGCGCGTGAGGTCTTGGGGGAGGGTGGCTGGGATTGCAGGGTTAAGGCCGAAGAACCGACATCACAGGCGGTGGCCCCGCCGCCGGTTGTACCGGAGCACTGGCCGGCTCGGGATGCCAAGCAGCCCAAGGCCCACTGGTCCAAGGTTTGTGCCGAGAAGCGGAGCCAGCAGTTCATGACGGAGCATAAACGTTTTGCTTGGGAGTGCGATGTGTGCAGAATGCGGGTGTCATCAGGGGTGTGGGCCGGCCTCAGGTTCGCCCGCAGCAATCACATCCGTAGGCTGCATAAAGGTGTTGACAAGCGGCGCTTCTCCAAATTGGGTCCCGCGCCACGGCTGCCAATCCCTCTCCAGGTCGACTGCCAGGACCCGACGTGGATGTGCTGGCACTGTGGCTACTTCCTTGCGAAATGCCAGAGGAGGGTACGGGCGAACAGCATAGATGCCCACATCCGTCAATGCGAGTCTTGCCCTCTGGGCTGGAGCCCGCTGTTGAACATGAAGGCGATTCTCGAGGATCATGGCTTCGCGACCCTTGGGAAACACCAGGCGGCCCTCGCTCAGATGTTCCACAAGGTTGATCTCCGGGTTTATAGGCCGGCTGACCGCGACCCAGTGAAGCAGGAGCCGGGTGGAGGATACGAGCATGATCTCACCGACGACGGCGATGTTGAGAGCAATCCTGGACCGGACAGTTGTCGGGTCCTTTCCTGGAACGCACAAGGGTTCAACCACATGGTTGAGGCCCTTCAGCTGGGGTGCTTCACTGGATTCGATGTGCTTGCGATCCAGGAACCTAACCTGTCCAGGAATCACTTCTTGGAGCTCACCCGCATGACTGAGAGGAAGGGCTTTCATGCATATGCCAGATGTGCCGAGGAGAAGACGGACTCCGCAGGCCGCTACTCGTGCAGAGGTGGGCTTGTCACCTTGGTTCGTCACGGCTTGCCTTCGTTTAGGGTCGGTGATAGGTTCCTTGAGGGTGAGTTTGAGGGCCTTACGGTTTCGGTAGGCGGGTGCCTGTTCCACAATTGGCACCGAAAACCCGCGGGGGACTTGGAGCTCTACCAGGCCGCGGTGAGTGACAGTTTGCGGGAGAGGAGCCCGGCAGTGGCCATCGGTGACCACAACGCCGACTTCGTGGACTTCTGCTGTGATCATGGCTGCAAGCATGCGGCCTTGGACGAGTGCGGGGTGCCTCGGCCCACTCGTGTTGGAGGCAGGCGATGCATTGATTTTGCTGTTTGTGGCGACGGCCTTAGCCTGCGTGAAACCGAGCTGTGTGAGAGCACCTTCGGTGATCATTACATGTTTGGGTGCAGTGTGCAGGGCTCTTGGAGCCGCAGCGGAGGTGCTCAGCTTCTTAGGGCCAGACCCACTTCGCAGTACCTCCCGCCTGAGGGGGTTTCCACGCGTGAGTGGACCCAGCTGCAGGCTGACCATTGGGTGGAGGTCCAAACTCCTCCCGATGGACAGCTTACCACGGAGCAGGAGTGGAGTTGGTTCAATGCGCAGGCCGAGCTCGCCATGCGACGGGCCACTACGGCTTGTGGTGCAGTGCCTAGGGATCCGCAGGGCAGGCGACCTAAGGGTTCAGGCTTCGAGGTCCAGGTGCAAGCCGCGGGAGCCCGCGACTCCAGTGACGGTCAATCGTGTCAGCTCAAAAGGCTGCTGAATCTGCAGGGCAGGCTACGTGAATGGCAGCGCCAGGCAAGCATGGGACGTGACATCAGCGCGGTGCAAGCGAATGTGATTCGCTCGTGGGTCCCACGACTTGGTAGCTTCCCTCAGGACATTGGGGAGGCCCTCGCACTCGTCGCCCAAGGCATCGCCGACGCCCAGCATGAGCGCCAGCGTGCATCCATCAACAGATGGAAACAGAACCTTGCCAATAGGGGCAGGGAGGCTTCCAGGTGGCTTAAAGGCAAAGGGCATGTCACGACGCGGGTGACGGCCCATGACACGCCCGAGGATGCGCCGGCTGGCCCGGTGTCGGTCGGCGATAGCCTGCGCAACCTGCGCGACTTCTGGCGGGAGATCTGGGACAGGACTCCTTGTGATCACGAGGCAGCCGTCCGAAGATGGAAGCAGCATGGGAAGCGGCAGCGCTTCAATGGGCGGGCGTGTTCGCTGTGGGAGCCTGCGGCTTTGCACGCGGCCGCTCGGGCCAAACCGGTTGGGGGCGCTGGCCCATGCGGCTGGTCCGGCCAGGAAGTTTCCACGTGGCCAGCCCGTGCTTGGGAAGTCTTTAGTCAGCTCGTTGACCGATGGATGCAGCGCGGGGTTTTTCCTCAGGCTTGGAGACAGGTTCGTCAGATTCACTTGCCTAAGGAGGATGGTTCGACATCCAACGCCCAGGTTCGGGCCGACAAGCTCCGGCCGATCGTCGTCATGTCCATCTTGTGGAGGATTGTCAGCTCGGCGGCGGCCTCCCACGAGAAGATGCAGCAGTGGATCCAGCGTGTGGTGGAACCGGAGCAGTGCGGCGGGATCCGCGGACGCCATGCTCACCATGGGCTCGGCCGTTTGTGTCGGACGTTTCAGGCTGGGGCTGTCCTCACCAGCCTCGACCTGGCTAAATGCTTCGACCATGTCCATCCGGACATGGTGTTGAGGGTCTTGGAGGCCGCCGGCTTTCCCAGAAGTTTGCGTGCGGCCATGGCTCACGCGTGGTCTCAGGAGCGATTCCTTGAAGTCGGAGGTTATGTGCTTCAGGAGTCGCAGCACGTGAGTTCCTCCATGCCACAAGGAGACGGGCTCTCCCCGCTAGCCCTCAACGTACTGCTGGCGGCACCCTGTGCTGCGGCGCGGCACCTGCAGTGCGAGCAGTTTGAGCAGAACATCTTCCTGGATGACCGCGCTTTCACCGCGAAGCCTGCTGACGTCCCCAGGCTCCTGCAGCACTGGACGAGCTGGTCGGAGTCGTTCGGGCTCAAGGAGAACAAGCGCAAGCAAGCCATTGTGACCAGATGTGCTGCTTCGGCACAGCGGCTCCGCAACTTGGGGCTCGGGCCGCTCTTGTGCAGTTCGGCCAGAGTTTTGGGTGTGGACTTCACTGACAGCTCCGGCGCTCCGAGCCCTACCGCGGAGGCACGGCTCAGCGAGGCGATGCAGATGGGCCGTAAGCTCATCAATCCCGGAATCCCTCTTGACATCCGGAGAGACCTGTGGCGGACCCGAGTCATCCCGAAGGCGAGCTGGGGTCACTTGCTGCGACCCGTCTCCCAGGAGATCGCGAAAGAGTTCAGGGCCCTCTTCAAGCGAGTGACCTACGGCCATCGGATGGGCCACAACGGCCTTAGGGGAATCCTGGAAGGCCATGGCATGGACCTTGGCTTCATGGCAGGCCTGCACACCTTGCGCACTTGGCGCTCGTCGGGCTCGGCGCAGGCCCTCCTTGCGAAGAGCACTGCTGGCACTTGGTTTGGGTCGGTCTGCAACTTCTTAGGAGCTCAGGCTTGGCGGCACGAGGGAGGCGGCATCTTCAACACCGCAGCTAGGCGCATCGACTGTGTGAACGAGGCCGCTGCTCCTCTCGAACACCAGCTTCGATCGCAGTGGAGGCAACAGCTTCATGAGGACTTCGTGCAGGCTGACAGACGAGATGCCAGGGCTTTGCGCATGTGGTGCTTTAGCGAGGCCCAAGTGAGGAAAGCGATCCCGCTGTACCAGGCGGCGGGATCAGATGTTAAGGCCGTTATGCTGGGGGCCGCTCACTCGTCTGCCTTCTACATGAAGGCGAGGGTTGGCCATGCTGCTCCTCGATGCCCTTGGTGTGATGCCAGGGCTGTGCCGGACTGGGACCACCTGGCTTGGCAGTGCAGCGGCATGCCAGGTGTTGAGGATAGACCGCCTGTTCCCCCTCTCGCTCTTCAGAGGAGGCTGGGATGGCCGGAAGCTGGTGAGTGCAGCTCCGTGGCGGCCCGCAGGCTGCGCTGGCTTGGAAGTGTGCGAGAGGCGGTCCGAGAGAAGCTCGGTCGCGAGCCCTAGGCAAGTGACTCCGGCGGCGGTGCAGGCTCTAAGGAGTGTACGTGAGTTAGGTGGAGCCGTTGGGTTCAAGTGAGTGGCAGCCATGCTTGCATGGCCGGGATGCTGGTCCGTGGGCCACGCAGCCTTCCAAAATCAACGTGGGGACTACAGCAATGCCAAATGGTTAGCTACGTTTCGTGGGGGAGGATCCGCCACAGGGTAGCATGAGAGTGTAGCAGGGTGAGGAGGTGGTTGGTCGTGTATGATAGCTTGGCGGAAGCCTGAAAACGTTTGCGATGGTTTTGATTTTAGCCTCTTACGGAGAACTTGTTTGCTTGGGTTTGCGAAACTTGGTGCAAGTAGCTGTCCGAATGCACAGCTCTCCGCCGGCCTTGTTGGCAGGGCGGCGCCGGTGACTACAAGCAGTATATGGACTATTCCAAATATACTCAGGGTCAGGGCTCGCAGGCAGGAGCTGGGGTTTGGGGAATTCAGGTTGAAGGATTTGCCTGGGATGTGGCATGGGAACATAGCAGGGATGCAGCAAAAAGGCCCGTCATCTATCGTCTGTGCTTGTCAAGTTGCCGGAAGTTGCCGCATAAGACAATGACAAATGTCTGATCTGAAATTGTTTTTACTGCGGTGTCTTGCTTGGGCTTGCGAAACTTGGTGCAAATAGCTGTCCGAACAAAAAGCTGTTCGCCCGGCCTTGTTGGCAGGGCGGTGCCGGGGACTACAAGCAGTACATGGACTACTCCAAGTATACGCAGGGTCAGGGCTCGCAGGGTGGAGCCACCAAAGAGGCGGAGTCCAAAGCAGGCACTGATGGCCCTGCTCTGCTTGTCGCTCCCACTGACAACACAGAGGCAGCAAAGGAGAGTCAGTTGCGCGAGGAGGAGAAGAAACACCTCCGTGAGGAGCTGGCATCCGAGCGCGAGCGATTGCACAAAGAGCTGGCCGGGGAGCAGGAGAAATTGAAAGAGGCCGTGGGGCGTGGGATCCGCCACCACTACCACCAAACCCCGCAAAACCACCACCACCCTTACCACCCCCACCCCCAACCACCCCCAACCACCCCCAACCACCCCCAACCACCCCCAACCACCCCCAACCACCCCCAACCACCCCCAACCACCCCCAACCACCCCCACCCCCACCCCCACCACCACCACCACCATCATCATCGTCATCATCATCATAATCATCATGTTCATCTTCATCGTCACCGCTGCTATCACTATCCTCACCATCTTCGCCATCCTCGCCGTCAGCACCGTCATCACCTTCTTCGTCCACCTCAGTCTTTTCCACCGACTTATGGAGATGTCGAAGCCAGTCACAGAAATCTCGGTCAGTTGTAGTCCCATGCAATAATTAGAGTGTACGCAAAAGCCGACCAGAGTCGGAGTTCCGAAGCCTCGCTCCGAAATCGTCAGGAGCTGGCGTCCGAGGCTAAGCAGGAGCAACAAGAGCAAGCGCAGGAGCAGAAGGAGAAAGCCGCTGAAGCCGCTCCTGCTGAGCTTGCAGCCGGTGCTTGGTCCCAGCCGCTGCTGCTCTCAACGGGGTCTCTTGCCCTTGGAGCGCTCGTCGCCGTCGCCGCCTTTGTAGCCCGCCTTCGCCGCCAGAGGCAGGTGCAGTTGAACGGAGCCGGCGACTACCTCATGTACGCTGAGGCGGCGATCGAGGTCGCCTAAGTCTAGAGGTTGTCTGTCGGAATGGTGCCTTTGTGGTCAAGCTGGGCTGTGCGTTACCGGCCGATCGGAACTAGGGCATTCTGGGAATCTTGAACTGCTAATCTGTTTTAATCTAAACGACGTTGGAACAGTTCGGTTTGGAGTGCCCCGTCGGCTGCACACACCAGCTACTCTTGCGTTCCGGACAGGGGAAGGCTCACAACAGGAATCAAAGCAGGTCCGTTTCTTTCATGTACGTATTGCAAGAGGTCAGACTCGGAAGTCTTGCTCTACTCAGCCCTTTTTGCATGCTTCCCTTCCGGACTGCTCTCCTTTCAAACTTTGCAGGACACATGAAGGTGCTCTGCAGATTCCGCTGTCTGGCGGAGTTAGCTTCAGGGCACTCTTTTGAGCTTCAAGGTGCCTGCAAAAGCTTCAGGCAAGCCAGGGCCAGGGCCCATCCTGCCTTCGCATCAAGCCGAGGCCTTGCTCGTAGAGTCATCTGAAAAAAGGATGAGGATCTGCGGCACTGATTTTAGGCTGGTTCAGGTGCATGTGGTGCCCAGGACCCGAAACAGAATGCCTGCAGGCTCTTGGATGCGAAGACATGAGGTTTCCACGCCCTCACTCCAGACCACAGAGGCAAGCCCGAGGCCCTCTGTCGGATAACTCGTAGACATATTGAGAGCTCCATGCGATGTGGCAAAATCATCAGCAAGGACCGGCTGCAGGCCAGTCGCCCAAGAAGACGCCAGTGTGATACATGTCCCAAATTTCCGAAGTAGATTCCGGGTGAGTGGTCCAACTGAAGGTGATCACCGGCCCGACATGCTCGAGCGGTAGACGTGTTGTTCTTCCTAGCAGCGTGTCCCCCCTTCGACCCCGTCCCCCAGAGCCGTATGCACAAAGCTGAGTCAATCCAGCCGGAGGGCTGCTGCCAATCGGTCGATCCACAGACAGGTTCCGGGAGACCTCTAAAGCTTGCTACTGCGTCAGCTTTGGGATCCATTGGGCGGTGTCGACTGGTATAAGAAGTTGATTTATCACGGGATCTCCCCCAGCTTGTCAGAAGCCAGAGAGTTGTAAACGAAGTCGGGAGCAACAAATCGGTCCTATCAGTTTCATCCTCCCGCACAACCGCATAGCTCCGCAAGCTGCGCTCCAGGCAAAGCTGCTAGGATAGGGCAAGCCCGGAGATGTGGCTAAGCTGCAACAACCTGCAATAAGTTAAGCATCTTAACTTCCAATCCGACCCCTACTGCTGCAGACGCTGAAGAAGTTCGACACTCTCCTTCGAAGGGGTGGCCTGCAAAACCGGAGTGCAAATCAAGGCCAGTTGCAGTCTTTTTGTTGCCCAGTCCCAGCGGCATATTCTGTGCGGGATCGCAAGGAGTTCAACCGGCAGACAAGAGAAAATTCGAGGTAGTTTCAGTGATTTCAGTGTCCTGTGGCTCACGAACAATGTCACGTCCTGCCCAGCGGGCGGATTACTTGCGAAACTCAGAATCGGAGCATTTTGCTATCCCGCAGATGTTCCGCAGTTTGACTGATCTAAGTGGTAGCCAGTCTGGGCAACATGCAGGTTTCCTGGGCTTGGGTCTCCATCTGGATGCCTCTGAAGAATGGCGTGCTCGTCTTTCCACATTGTACAGTTCGCAGACCCCGCACTCTTGAGCGCCACAGGGTACTGGGAAAGCCACTTTGCCTACGACGTGGGGCCGGACGGTCCTTTGTCAAGCCGGGTTCTCGGCGCTGCTCTAGACTCTAGACAGAAAGCAGTGCTTGTTGCCTAGGACTGAAACTTCTCCCTCGACAGATGCATAGAATGAAATGTAAGAGCCCATGAATTTAGACTGAACGGAATAAACACATGAAATAAATGAACAGTGAGAACAGTCCGAGCAGCATGGACAGTATGAACACAGGTTTTTGGGCATGAGCAGTGATATTTCTGATTTGCGCAAGGGTAGCGAGTTGTGAAGTTACCGAGGCCGTCTGCCGGACTCGGAGGGCCGGCCTCTGTCTGCCCCAGGGTGCACCCTGGGCTCTGGGGGCTTCTCTGGATCTTCGGCACTTTTGCGAGTTCACTTCAGGCATGAATGCCCCAGAGGAGCATCCGCATGCAAACAAGGAGACAGATACAATGACAGAGCTCTGTTATGCTGTCAATTTGTGCGGGGGTGCATATTCGGGGTGAAGGATTCCTTGAGCTTCTTGGCAGCATGCGCGTGCATTGTTTCGTTGCAAGCGCAGATCTGGGAGAAGGAGTCTGTATTGGGATGGAGACCACGGCTGTCCTGGCCAAAGGTGCCGCCCCATCAAGCACCGGCCGCAGCCGATCAAGGAAGAAGTGGAGAAAACGGATGAGTCGTGGCTCTCCTGCATTCAAACCTCAGGTGTCTGACTTCAGACGGCCGCCTCTGAAGAGGGGTTTAGCTACAGCTGGTGATAGACCTTCGAACCTATGCAGGCTCACCTGATGTGTGCGAGTTGAGTTGTCGGAGTTCAACAAGAGAAACCCCACATCCAAAACCCAGAACCACAGCAGCCGAGACAATCTTAAACCCAGCCAAGTGTTACACCGGACCGGACTTGTCCTTGCCTTGGGGCGGACTCCTAGACTCTACACTCGACAGATGAAACCTAAACCCTCACTGAACCGCAACAAGTCGGAGTGACGGCGGGAGCTCAGTCCTGGCGGCTCTTCTCCGTCGAAGAGTCCATCGATACCTCCGGCGACGCCTGTGGCCGTAGACACAGAGCAGCCGCCTGCAGAGCCCGAGGAAGCAGGTTCGTTGGGGTTCAGCTTTTGACCCAGCAGTCCATAATTATATTATTGCAAACCGCGGCCCAGCAGTCTGGTACAAGGTTCGAGCGTCTCTTACCTCACTAACATCATGGTTGCACAGCTCTTTCATCGGCGATGAAAGTAGTGTCCGGATTTGGGCAGTTTGGTGTCTTTCAGCTGACGAAGTTGAGACCGGTGGGGCGTCGTAATGCCCTATAGCCCAAAAGCCCGGAGCCTTCAGCACAGACCGCAAGCTGGCGTATCATGAGGCTTGGTGCTGTTTCGGGACGACCATGCGTATTTTGTGTCAAGCGGAGGAATTTCTGCCCGAGCCAGGTGAGAAGAGGGCTTCCAAGAACACCCCGCTGCTGCTCTCCCTGGCGCGCTTCATGACGAAGGTCAAAGCAAAAAAGTCCAAGAGGCCGAACCAGCGGGATCGGAACGGCAGTTTTCGGCTCTGTGGCGCGGTTCCGAGGCGTCATGAGCCTGGTTCAACTTTGCTATCAACACCTGCAGAAACATGACCAGAAGACTTCCGCTTCGCCTGCCTCCACGGTTGCAGCAAATATTGTCCGCTGCACCGCACCAAACAGTAGCATGGAATAGTAGTGTATGCACTTGCATGCAGTTTTTTCTCATGTTTCGGCTAAGGCAGTGGCCTCGTCACCCTTAAGTCTTTTGCGAGCTTCCCAACTGTTGATGCATGTGGTATCTTTTCCGTGGCATCTGAGGCCTTAGGCATCCTTTCACCCTTGGTTCCCGCGGTATCAAGCCTCAGGGAGAAGCTGGAAGAATTCTTCTACGTCGCAGAGGAGAAGGTGGAGACGTGCCAGATTCTCTGCTTGTCGCAGGGTCTTCAATTGAGAGGTTGTACTTGTAACTGACTAATTAACTGGTGGAACTGAACCTTGGGCCCTGGCCTTCAAGCCCGCACGAGTGATGGCGCAATGTTGGCAACAACCGTCATGATCAGCACAACAACAAGACGTGCGACAGCAATAAAGTATCGACAGGACGAAGGCCGCAAAACAACGGGTTCATCCTTTCAAGACCCAAAAATACCGTTGAAGCCTGTGCGAGTGTGAGAGAGCCGAAACACGACAAAGATCAAGAGCTAGCTTTCGGGCTTTGGGGTCAGGCGAAGTGGAGTCGGCGGCCGTCGAAGCCCCGGCTCCTCACGCAAGAAATGGAAGAGGACTTGCCTGAGTCGTTCTGCACAACCTGGTTGAGAGGAATAGGAAGAGAGAGGGAGAGGGCGTGGGCTAGACGCTCGGGAGTCCTGACAAGCTCCTCAAGCTGGGAGAAGAATAGTTTCCTTTGCGGCCCTCAGAGAGTTTGTCTAAAGGGTGTCTTGTGCCGGGGCCTTCCTCCCATGCAAACTCTTGAGCATTCAGCTTTCGCTTCGAGCAACCTGAATGGAGGCGGAGAGAGGGAGAGAAGCACCGCAACTTGCCACTTTCGCGTAGCTGAACTTGGAGAGACCTCGGCTGACCCGCCTGGAGCTTACTGGTTTTCCATGGTCAAGGTCTTAGCAGGGGTGTTTTGGGGGGACGGGGTGTATAAGCTCAGGTGGGGGAACGAGCCCTTCTCTCATCCCTGGAAGGGGCCAATCGAACTGCGAGACTTGCGGACCGTTGCAGGGGTAGGCCTTCGGGCCAGGGTTCCTTCGGGGGCACAAACCCCTAAGCAAGCAAGCAAGCCAGAATGCTTGCTGGGGGAAGAGACAGATGGAGGGAATGATGAAGACTCCTATGTTGTCTCTTGCTGTTGCAAAGGGTTTCCGTTGGTTGTCAAGGGGATGCACACATGACGACAACCCTTGGTTCATCATCTCTGACTCTATGGGTTATGTCGTACATGCACACTGTACATCTACAAAGAGAATTTGTCCCCGTCATCATGCAGCTCACCACAATCGTAGGTCGTCTATTTGGAGAGGGCCTCTGAATACAGGTCACCTGAGGGCGAGCAGGCGTTGGCAAAGCAACTGGATGAATCGCATAAACAGGTTCGAAACAGCTGCCGGAGAAAGCTTGCCACCATTATAGTGAGTGCGAGGGTATGGTAGTGCAAGTTCTGTTTGTCGGCGGCGGAGACGCGCTTGGTTCAAGCAAAAAAAACTTGTACCCTGATGGGCCAGAGCCTGCAACAGTGGTCCGACGGTGACAGGAGTGGGCCGAGCTCCAGGACAAGGTGCGTATGGAGAAAGGCCCGGTCTTGAATTGACAGCTGGAAGTGTGTAGCTTAGGCTGAGAAAAGTAGACAGCGTGAAGGACAATATACGTGTTGAATTTCAGACAGCCATCGTGCCGGTAGCAGCCATCACGAGGAAGATGGTGACAATGATGATGCCGGCGGCGGTGGTGATAGTTATGTGGATGAGAGGACGAAGATAACACGGACGACGGTGGTCATGACAATAATTCTTGCTCAGCGACGAGCAAGATGAGGATGGTACTGACCATGACGACCATTACGATCTGTTTTTACTCTTCTGGATTCTTGAGAGTGGTGAGGACGATGACTCCGATGATGGCTAACACTGATGATAGATGGGCCTTGAAGATGAGGGTCAATTTTGCTAACCAGACTTTAGTGACTTTGGAGGTCACGATGACCACAATGACAGCGATGAGCAATGAAAGCACGAATAAGAGGAAGAATGCCATCATTCTGGTTGGTGGCGGTGGCGGCGTTGCCTGCTTTTGCGTTGACACTGTTCTGGTCGTTGTCATGGTTCTTTAAACGGCCCTAGTAGTCGTTCTGGCTGTTGCAGTCGTTTTGCTTGTGGTCATGGTCGTCCTGGCTGTTCACATCGATCGCTGCTGTTGTCATGATCGCTGTCCCTATCCTCTTCCTGCTCCTCTGCCTCTCAATTGCCATTACGGGCGTCGACGTCTTCGTCAATTACTCTGGTCTGTGTCAGGCCGCTCTGCTTCCATGCTCGTTGAAACAACTTGTTTGTTCTGGCTGCTTATGTGCATACCGGAACTCGGCACCCACGCACCAGCTCAGTGGAGGCAAGTGGATTCAGCACTCGCGCCGAAAGGTGGAAGCAATGTTCCAGGCTGGGACAATTTAAGATATTCAAGTCGACCAAAGCGCCTAGATAGAGATATGTAGCGTGCACGGCAGCCATCAGTATCCTACCTCAGCCTTTCGGTCACGAGATGTGGGCTGTTGTTCGCTTTTGTCATGAACTGCTCAGTTCCAGGATGTCGTCTGTACTGTGGCCACTTCTGAGATTCGAGTTGTGATTGCTCAGGAGGAAGAGTTCGGCGAGAACTGGGATCGTCAGCAGCGGAATCTTCAGAGCCATGACTGCCACAGCAGGAAGACAGTTGCCATGCTATTCTGTTATTGTATTGCTATGATCTTTGTCAGTTTATCATCTCTGCATGTTGTAATGTGGCAAGACCTGTACGAAGATCCACACATCACATGTCTACCGATGCACTGTGCAGAGACGTATATGTCATGCTCTCAGTTGCCTCAGCTGTGCGATTTCGATAGGACCCCATGTTAGCCAGATGTGCACTACCACGGACTAACTAGATGTCACGATGGGTCAACTGCTGCATGGCGTGCTGCGGATACGTATGTTACTTTATATCTCAATATGTACGTATGTATATAGATTTTACATCTTGTCCTGTAAGCATTGATAAAGCCCGAGGCGTGAGAGGAATCCGAGACAGCAGGACAATATCTTCGACACGCTCTCTTTCGTGAGGTGTGTCTGCTCCGGGGACGAAGGAATCATCAGAGAGGTCTGGATTCAACGAAGGGTTCCGGGCCTAGGAGATTGCCGGCCGTCAGAGGCTTTCGACTTCCGTTGGCTCAAGCGCATCAAACGCCTGCAAACGGCAGCTGCGGTGGTCCAATGGTCGATGGTTTGCGGTGTTTTGGAAATGGGGCTTTAGAGCTTCAAGTGAAGGAACCCCAAAGCCGAGTCCTGATTCTTTGATCCGTCAGAGTGCAAAACCCCTGAACTAGTTTTTTTGCGCTATTCCTCAACAACTGCGAGACACATTGATGGCAGGTGGAAGGTGAACAAGCAGCTTCGGCAAGCTATGCAGGAGCGTGGAAGCCCTACATGTAGACTTGCAGGATTTTGCTTTGGGGATCCAGGATAGGCATTCCGGACGAAATTTATGTGAACGTCTTGGTTCGACGAAGACACCTTTAGAATGTCTCAGAGTCTTGGACTCCAGAGCTCCGGGGGAAAGTGGGATGCCAGCGGTACTGTAGAAGCCGGTTGCCACGCCAGGACGTGGAGAAGGGCAATAAGGTCAACCTCCCGAGGAAGCAGGACAGCTTAACCGACACGAAGACCGCTTCACAAGAGCTACCTTGCCTCGCCAAATTCATTGTTATCATATTGTGCTTGCACGAGATCTGTTATTGCTCCTTCTCCCACGGCGGCGACGACTTTTGCTTCCACTAACTACGACGACGACAACTACTACTTCAGTGTAATGTTATGTCATGGTATGTTATGTTATGGTCTGGCTGTCTCTGCCTGTCTGTCTGTCTGTCTGTCTGTCTGTATGTATGAGTGAACTTGTAATCTATCTACTTATATCTAAACCTAGACCATACTGTATGTCCGAATCCTACATCCGAATCCTTTATCCCAATCTTAAATCCGAATCTGCATCCAAATCCACGTTTGAGCCATTTTCCAGAGGACCGCTCGGCCGGGCCCCCGCCGCCGGATCCTGTGTGGATAGTGGGCGACAGGGAGGATTCAGGCGGGACAGGGTGGGGAGTGGGGGGTTGGGTTAGGGCGTTAGGCTGAACGGGATCACTCAGAGGGCTCTAGGATGTAGGTTCGTGGGTCACCGCGCAGGATTCAGGTGGGGTTGGGAAGTGCTTTCCGGTTTTAGGATTGGCCTGTAGATGTTTGAATCGAGGAGTGTTTGTTTGAGCACAATCCAAGCCCATGCTGACAACGGCATAGGATCTGGGACTTGGGATAAAGGCTTTAGAAGCGATTTTGACATGCGGGGTTCAGACAGGAGGTTGGGGCGGGGCTTGGAAGCTGCAGGAATCCCTTGAGCTCGAGGTTTGAGTGACTTCCAATGTTAGATAGAGATTTGAACAGTTCAGGCATCCTGCAGAAGATTTTCCCTCCATTCCATCTCAGGCCCTTAGGTTCAGCAATGTGCGGTCGATCTACGAAAAAGCTTTATCGGAGTTTCACAAAACCTGCAAGTCCGCCTCAGGCTTGGAGAAGGCACGGGAAAGGATCGCCACGCTTCGCACCTCGGCGAGCTTGCGGGTCCCACACTTGCTTGGCGTTTTAGATTCCAAGCTCGTAAACCCGCCGTTCCCGGAAAGCATGCACAGAGGCCTGCATGCAAAAAAGGCTTACCGGCTTGACCTTCGTTCCTGTATCAGGTCATATAACAATACAGCAGTGTGTCCAAGAAATTTGGAGACATAGTAACAGAAGGGACTATGCAATATTCCTGTTTGTCAAACTTCGGATGTTGGCTCGAAAGACTAGGACAATGGTAAACTTGCTGTTCAGGTTTCGGTCGTTGTGTTGTTGCGCTATAGAGCAAGAGTCTGACGTTGCTGACGATCCAGTATCGCCCGGAGCTCTTGGGTTTGACGCTTCCGTAATGCTTCGGTAGCAAGGACGAAGGTTGAGGATTTCAAATGGCAAAGAGTGGAGCAGACATCGCCGCGAGGTGCGAAGAAGTACCGTGGGAAGCCTTTCATGCCAATGGGCCAGGGCCGGGGCTGGCGTGTGGACCAAGGCTACTCGGATATGATTCTAGGTTTGTTTTTTGGGCTTTGACTTTTTGCGGAGTGCAATAGACTATTAGAAGCAAAGGAAGCCCGAAGCTCAACAAAACCTCTTATGCGCTGCTGATCCCATCAGATTTCGGCAGCGTGCTGCAGAGGAACGGGTGTTCGTTTTGAGGTTCAGGGCTGCATGGAATTTTTGGCGGGCTCGCCTCCGCGTCAGTCTCAAACCTGGCATTCGGATACGATACACCTTCAAGGACCTTCACTTTCGCCCGCTAGTGTTTGTAGCCACTATTTAGCTGGCTTACTGGCATGGCATGAGCTTCTAAGCCCTGCGGCCATGAACCGCTCCAGATGTACTGCTGCCACTGGGGCTACACGGGTTGGCCACACTAAGTTCATTTGCACACTGTCAACCCTCTACATTCTAGGCCGCTATCTGCAGGCCTGAATGTTGAGATGCTTGGACGGAGACAGCTAAGATCTCTTCGACCACGTTGATGAGCTGTTTCAGCAGTACGGCGAACCCGCCGCCATCAACGAGGACGTGCCGTGGATGCGCTAGCTGCTAGCTATAAATCCTGTTTCGTGCCCGCCGTATCATGGTATTGGGCAGTTCCGCGCAGTGAACTGGCAGCCTCGAGTTCTTTAGTTTTCGTGTTCCATGTAAAGGGAAAATGAATGAATCTGCACACACAAACACACATATGAGATACACACATACAGTGTGGATGGATGTGCATGTTCACAACCCGGGTTCGCTCATCAGACTCATTTTCCGGACTGTCCATGTCACTGTGCCACGGCCACAATTCCCAGAACATGTAACACCTGTGGAACGATGGGTAGAGCCATACTCTGTGCCGGGAAAGCGGATCTTTTGGAATGTCATGGGGGAGCCAGCAATGCCAGACCCTGCGCTCCTCAGCCTAGAAATTACTACGACGTTGTCCAAACGCAGTCGAATATCATCTAACATCGTATTGCGTAAAGGTTCAGAACATAGCATGATATAGTAGGATATCGTATAGCACAGGGTCGGATAACGTATTTCATATAGTCTAATCCACTTCCCCACGCTGGAACCGGCCTGCTTTCTCTGCAGACAAGGCCGTAACCACACGGGCTGCTTCCGAAATGGTCGGGGCGAAGCAGAAGGCAGGGCGACAGGTTCTCACTGTCACTGTCACTAGCCAGAGGCCCTCACGAATCTGAGGCGATGTAGCGGTATGTCCGAGTTGAATTATGCAGGTATGGGGGGCCTATTCTGGATATGATGCTTATTAGGATTGTAGCCGTTGGCGACCCGGGCGTTCTTGCATTTTCTGGGCAGCCTCCTTGCTCGCCAATATCATTATGAAGCTGTTAGCCTCCTTGGATCAGCAGGAGCGTCGAGCCTCTGACTCTGCCAGCGTCTGAGTGTCAGAGCAGTCTGCAGCTGCTCATGCCACTGCCCGGCAGCATGCATTCCTCGTGCTGAACCATTGGTCGGCGCCGTTTAGGGACAGCTTGCAGCGCTTGAGGACCGGATGTCGTTGGCGCATTTGGCGCAGCTGTTACGCCCACAGCTGAATTCCAAGAACGCAGCTTGGCCCAGGACAGCGAGAGCGGGCACAGTGACAGTTCCTCTGCGCTGCAGAGGCGGGCTCATGTTAGGGTACATCTCCCAGTCTGATCAGAGAGTTGTCGGATAGTTGTTTGGCTTAGAGTGGCTGTAAATGCCATCTTTCGGCTGTCTCATTTCCGCATATCCTTCCCGGCAAATCCTGGCGTTACCTTCAAGCCAAATGTCGGAACTCCGACTGTCGGTGTAACCGAAGCCAAGAAGCCACGCAGTCGCCGCCTTTCGCAGACAACTGGTCCAACACATGCTGTGTCAATAAACTTTGTCCGTTATCGGCAGTCTCGAGAACACCAACAAATTTGTGCGCTATGCAAACTCACCATGAGTCTTCATGGGGCATCCGCTCGGGATGATGCAAGCCGACAAGAGTGTGACAAGCCCCTGTACCCGAAGCCGAAGCCAGGCGGGTGGTCTCAGCTCCGGCGAGCATGCGCCGCGTTCAAGCGCGGCGCATCACGCGCTCGCGCGCCAAGGCGCTTTGGGGAGGGCCTCACTCGATGGTTCAGGACTCAGGGTGCAAGGGCCGGTGCAGGGCCCGACTTTGAAGGATTTGACCAGGCCTTTTTTTGCTACACCAGCTTCCCGTCTAACCTGCAACTCCAGCTTCGGCACAGAGCTTCCAGACTCCCGCTTCGATTTCGAGGTTTCGAGTTTTGAAGGTTTCGATGATGCTCCCCCTCCAGCTTTCTTGTGGGCATCACCTCACCCGGTCGAACACTTTCCGAGAATGCCAGTCGCGCGAGCTCTCAGTCCTGCCCCCGTGGATGCGGCAGATGCTCCTCGGCCATTTTCAGGACCAGTCCTCTCTAAGCACTTTTCCACTCTTTCAGACCCGGCTTGGATTCTTTGTCGGCAGGGTATAGGTGAAACATCCCTATGAGGATTCACCTGTTTGGGAGTGATTTGCTTTGCAACCTATGCTTGCACCAGTACGCGCTTCATCGAAACATGGATATGGCTTCCGCAGACTGCCCGAAGTGTCCGCAAGCCCAGTCGCAGCTTTCCTCAGGCTCGTACAGGATGACATTTGGCAGCAGCTTCCGGCCAGATCCCCGGTAGTATCTGCCTGCACAGATTGAATAGCGTTTACATTCAACTTTCACCGTGAGTCAATGGTCACAGTCATCCTTACTACTGTACTCCTCCAGTGAGATGTGGGCTATTCGTATTACCGCCATTCGTGTGCCTTTGCCAGTGGTAAGCAGCTTCATCGCCACAGGAAAGCAGTCCGTGGGATCGGACTTGCTGGCTCCAGCCTGTGCGTGTGAAGGGCCGCACAGCTACTGCAGCCTGGCTACCGGAAGCAGAGAGTGTCAACACTTGTACATGCATGACATGCCAACTTAACATGGTTGAGGTGGTCTCGCACGTGCAGTGCTTCTTGCTAGGTACTGTATGCACACCTTCATGTATGTTGCTGCGCCGCAGATGCTCGCTAAGCATTTTTTCGTGCCTCACTGGTCCTTGAGATAGCTCGTGGTCGTACTGTCTGGAAAAGGTTGGTAGCGCCCTTCTGACAGTCTTCGAAATGCTGCTTTTCAGGACCGTGCCATGACGAGCTTTGGCTGCAGCCGCTGTTGGATCTTTCGGCCTTCGGGGTGCTAGTTCAGTTCTGGCTTGTCTTGAAGAGCTGCTACGGCCTGTGACTGGGCCGGGTCATGGTCTGGCTGGCAAACGAACGGCAGCTTCGTCATAAGAAGAGCATGAACAAGCTCCCACCCACCACCCAGCTGAATCAAGCTTTCATCCGGGACTGGAGGCACCCAAACGAAAAGAGCTTTCATCTAAGCAAATGTACCCAAGACCCTGTTCCTTCAGAGAAGCGTCTCCAGCTACAGTGGCCCCAGCCTGGTCAAGGCCCGAGCAGGTGGCAAAGGCACTTTCGAGAAAGAGCTCCCGAAGCGACAAGCCACGGCGGGTGGCTGAGGTCAGGGAGGGTTTAGGGCTTTTAGGGATTCCGGCTTCAGTGCAGGTCCTACAGTATGGGTCTTGGGCCTTGCTGCTGTAGGGTTGAGGGTGGCGGTCTCGGTGAGCCCACGGCCAGTGGCGCAAGAGTTATTGCTGGGAATCTTGATGTGTGTGTGTGTGTGTGTGTGTGTAATCGGAGTTTTGCGGAGAAGACTGATCGTGAGCTGACGGTGCTGTGATATGAAATGTTAGAGAGGTTACATGTCTTCCGGGCCCAGAACACCAGCCGCTTTCAGGTAGCCGTTGCGGAACTGCCAGATGTTCTGTACGAGATGTGGCTTGCAGTAGTCGCTGAACAACTTCATTCCAGGCTAACAATCTCGTTTCTCATGCCATAACCTTCAGCTGCTTGCAAGAAATTTGCATCAGAGTCCGAGCTGGGTGTTTAGTCAGACTCCGGCACCTTTGCTTCGAAAGCTCCCTGGCGCAGGATCCGGTCCTCTTCGTTCGCAAGGCTTGTCGCTCCATCGTCGAGGATCGGTCATAGAGTTACACATGCACATGTAGATGCTCATGGTGATTGACGCACATGTGCAGAGCTCCCGAAGGGTGCACAGCCCTTAGTTGCTGTCTCCTGGCCAAGGAGTATGCAGAAAAGGCGCCGGAGGATGCCGCTCCAACCCTGAAGCCAGAGGCACCCAGCATGAGTTAAAGGATCTTTTCGAAGGAGATCCACCGTTTCGAACCGTGCACTCGTTGTTGTGTCGGCTGTACTGCAAACGTGCAATTACGAAACAGTCGTTGGATGCAGCCACAGAGCGAGGAACCTACGAGACCCGGCTCACCTGTGTCGCTGGATACCGAGACAAGACACAACCGTGTGATGGCAGCGTGGCTGCAAGCGCGGGATTGGGCATCGGATATGCTAAGGCGGCTAGATATGGATTTATGAAATCCGGAGTCGTTCAGCCGCATTGTAGCGTGGAGGGCAGGCAAGACTTGTTGTGAAATGGCGTGCAGCTAGAGAGTGCGAGACGAAACCCCAAATCAAAGTTTTCGGAGGAGATTTTGGAGCGGGACAGCCTGCTCACTCAGGAGAGGCGGAAGTTCGGTGTTGGGACCCAGATTCGTTTGTGGGTAGTGATGGCGGCAATATCTGTTGTTTTAGGTATAAATCCAAGGGCTCGCCAAACGTTTGGTTTGAATTTTGGGCTAGTCGGCTTGTAGTGGCATACCTGCCTGATGGTCCTGATCTTGACGGTACACTTTACTACTCGTGTGCTGGTCGGGTGGCAAAACTACTATGATGCGTGTTCGTAGGCATTATCATGACTGACACTCCCACCCCGCTGTTTACGAAGTTCTGGAGCATTTTGCGCTGCAGGCGAGCACGTCCCAAGGCTGCAGTAGGGGTGAATTGAACAGTTTTGGGCAAGACTCTCTTCACAGGAGTCAGCAGCAACATGGGAACAGTGATCAGTAATCATGGTATCAATCCAGGAGGAGAAGGATGAGGAAGAGGAGGGGCGTACAGCAGTCGTTGTCGATGTTGTTGATGATGATGATGATGATGATGATTCTCACGATGATGATGCTATATGGGGTGCTGTTGGTGATCATCATGACGATCATCCCTGGGTTTCTGCTAGCTACTAGACCCCATATCCTCGCGTGGTTATGCCAAGTTGCGAGTGACAAAAGAATCCTGTGCGATCTCTCTTGGCCAGTGCAAGTTGTACTCGTAAGTGCTTCAACGGCAGCCGCAGTCTCTCAGCTGTCCATCGCCCCGCCATGTCCTCCCGTGCGCCGCCCTCGCCTCACAGTCCCCGGCCATTCAAGCGCCTCCGAGGAGGCGCGATGTGGGGTCGGAATTGGGCTTCTGGTTTCGGCAGGTCTGGGATCGTTAAACAGAACGGATTTTGACACCGAATGACCAGCAATAGCAGTGGCTCAGCGCCAGGATCTGACGACCTGCCTGCCATGGACGTGGAAGGCAACACGGGCTCGTGCATGGCTCCTGTGGTCACAGGGAGATGGCACCGACGACAGAACTATTGACGGTCGAGCGCTTTCGAGGTCGTTGCTGGCAGTTGTGGTGATTTTGGGAATGGGCTGGCTACTCGTAGATGTTTTCGACGCCAGGCTGCTTGTAAAAACACTTCAGGTCAGACCACATCTTACAAACCGTCAGCTGAAAACTGCTCGCAGGCAGCGTCTTCAATTGGAGCTGGCCAGCAAGAGTGGACGAGCTAGGCCGAGCAACGGGGAGTGACATGTTTCCGGCTTATCAGTTCCCCTCAAACAGTAAAACAAACAGTGCCAAGGTCTTGTTGACAGCAACCATGCAAGCAGTGCGCCGGTGGAACCTTCATGTGGTTCTAGAGGGTCCCGTGTTTTTCGAGCGCAACCCGTGCTTCTCACTGCTCAGCATTGGGGATTGGGTGGCTTTGTGCCGGAAGGGGTCAGAACTGAAGTTTGACCACATTTTCTCGTGACTTGGCTTGAACCGCTTCTCTTGCAGGCCGCGAGTTACCGGACTGCCTGGCCGTGACGGACGGCTGGGCTGGTGGAAACGAGAGGGTTGAATGGTCGCAATGTTTCTTCTGAGTGCTTTCGGCATAGAGAACGAGAATGCGGCACGCCAGCACTTTAAGTACGAAGCCAGAACGAAGCAACAACTGGCCACGATCCTCCGGCCATCCTGCTCGAATTCGTACATTTCGGCCACTCTGCTATGCTACCAGCCGAAACCGGCCCAGCCAAAACCCAGCTGTCAAGCTTAATGAAGTGTCAAACACTGGCCGACTCGAAGTTGAATGGAGAAGCCCCAAACACACGTCGAATCTGACCTCGGGGACAGCCTTCTCTATCCAAGACAGCAAGAGGATGACTCGCTGACCCTTACCTGGGCGCAGCTCTCCCGGAGATCCAAGGCACCCCTGCCGAACACACTGATTTCAGTGGAGCCGTTCTGGGCACATCCTTTGCATTAGCAAGCTCTTCTTGTTGCAGCTAGAAAATCCCACTCGACTGATCTGATCGGCCTCCTCGACAGGTAGCTCTTGTCCGGGTCTGGAAGATTGACCCTGAGAAATTCCCTTCTGTGCAACCTAGATTGAGGCGGTATGCCTGAGCCTGCAGGGCGGCTAGGATTTCAAGCATCTCAAGAAGCACCTGGCGGTGCACATGTGACGCTGGTTCGCTGGTTCCTCCCAGCCTGCTAATCTTCAAGGCCCTTGGTGATGTCGCTAAAGGATGCCTGCCGCCTGCAGGCCGTTGCTGCAGCCCTCCGGTCGTTAGGACTGACTGGAAGCCCCTCAAGCGTCTATCCGCCTCCCGTCTGCAAAAGCAGAGCACTTGGACAAGCAGAGCACAGAAACGGCGGTGTCTTGTGCGACTTGATGTGGTACCTTTCCTCGGAAAGATGCAGGCGCGGCCGGTCGAAATGGTTAGGTGGTTGTCAGAAGGGGCCCTGCTGTAGCAGACAGGCTTGCTTCGTTGCCAACACTGTCTGCGGAATCGCAGAGTTTGAGATGCCAGAGCATCATGTCCTTTGCTCAGGAAACGCTTTGGGGACATCGTTGGCGCGCCGCCCCCCATGGTCTTCCTCTTAGCATATGGCCTCGGAATGACCCCGGGCTCGTGATTCGATGGACGGCCTTGCAAGGGTCCCGACATGCGAGCGGTCTGGGTCCATGAGAACGGATTGCACTTGGCAATGTCTGGCGATGGCAACTGGTAACTGGAGGAGCGTGTGCCAGGGTTTCGTTGCTACATGTTCTTCCAGTCGAACCTCTGAGGTTGTTATGCTGCCTCACGCCGCTGAGTCCTTGATCCTCGTCCTTGGCGTTTTGCGCCAGGGATTCCCTGTACTACCCCTGAGTATCACCCACGGCAACAGGACCTGCAGAGAACGTGCAAAGTAAGTGTCGGGGCTTATTTGTGATGTCCAACAATGGGTCGACAGACATTGACTGCGGAGTTGAGACACGTCCGAGGACAGTTCGCATGCCCATCACGCGCCCCAAAGCTCAACCCCGCAGCCTGTTAAGCCCGAGACTGGGGCAGGACGCAGCTGCTCCAACGATATCAGGAGGGAGTGCAGAGCGGACTTCGTCAAGAATCGATATCTTCTGGCATTGCGTGAAAACCCTCAGACACGGCCTTCCTGGACAATTCTTCCCTCGCATGTTGGCTAATCCGGGAGAGCCATCCCCAACAGCTCGGCATCCTTACTCTGTGGTTAGTCTACTCAAGTATCAGTTTGATAGCCTCGCACCCGACTCTCACTCCTGCTCCGGCGGAAAACCGTTCTGGCTGCGCCTTCGATTTCCCTGAGCCCTGGAACTAGTGGGATTCTGATCGGTGTGGAGGAAGCAATGGCCCTCTTCGAGCCGGTAGCAGTGATCACCGACTCACCCTTGGTGTCCGAGCTTCAAGCTCACCGGCCGGCGCTGCAGGCTCTGCGAAGTCGCTTTACCGAGCGTAGGGCGTTTTTGTTCTTTGGGGCGTGCGCTGTCGTTTGCATTCTGTATTTGTCGGGGTCATCTGCCCGCAACCCAAAACTCCAGAGTCGAAAACCCCCGTGGTCGTTAGGGCCGGGTGCTGCCTTGCAGGTACATGCCTGTTAGTAACTGAACCGCGGAGTTGAGGTTGATACTGCTGCTGGGGCCCCGCCCTTGTCGGGTTTGTTGTCGCCTGCTTGGAGAATGTTCGACCGTTCGATGGTTGCTAGTGGCAGGAATCTGAGTTCTTGTCTTATCACATTGCTGGGAGTTTTGTCTCGCCTCTTGCCTAGATTGATCCGAAAGTGGGTTCTCGAGGATGCAAGAATAACCCCCCCCCCCCCAGTGCGATGCGGGTACTGTGTCGCACGAATTCACACTACGGCCGAAACGTGTTCAGGTACTAAAAGGCCGTGGGTTGGCTAGGACTAGGAGTCTGGGTCAGCAGGTTGTTTCAGCGCGGGAGCTCCTGGCCTCGGATGAGATCGGGGATTACGAGGACCGCAGGATGGCAAGAAATGAAGCCCTTTCCAGTTCAGCTGTAATGGTGCATAGACAGAAGGTTCCCTGAAGCTGGACATAGAATGACACCAGATGGGATGACATTGACATAATTAAACTTTTCGCCTGCCATTCTCAAGTCCGTGCAACACAGGATGTGCCGAGCACGACAGAACATGCGCTGGCCTACATGTTCACATCCGGCAGCACAGGCCGACCGTAGGGTCTGTTGCGAGCGATATGCTTCTGTTTTGGAAGGGATCGTGCAGCAGCATCCTCTTTGCCAGAACACTGTAGGCATGCAGGCTAATAGAATCTTGATTACGCCAGCGACCTCGACATAACGATCACGGTTCTCATGATTACCGGAGCAGATGGCTGATACCGCTTGCCAGGGCAATCGAAGTGCGTGTGCCTATCAAACCTCATGGCCTACAGCGAGACAGAAGGGTGAGGGGCCAAGTCTGACTGGCTGATGGTGTGATATGCTTCAACTTTGCAAGTGGCCTCAGCTGGCGTGAAACCCCCTGGTATGAGGCTGCACCCCGCACCTGTCTTTGTCCCGCTGCAGGGAGGACTTGTTCTCCGACCGGATTTGCCCTGCATTCTGTCGCAACAGCTTCCTTCCGAATCTCCAGAATCGAAGAGGTGAGCTTGCTCAGCTTCAGAGAAGAATACCAGACAGTTCAAGTTGCAAGGTATCCAGAGCTGTTCGGCAAGCTCGGGTACCGGGTTGATCCGCACAAGGCACCCCTTCGGCACAACAGCTGACGTGCTGCTGGGTAGAGCATAGGAGCCTGCGCGGCATCATGCGAGTATCGGCAAGTGAAGTTCAGGGATGAGGTTTTGCTCATGGAGGTCTGAGGATGTGTACAAGTTTGGAGGTTTCAAGCCCTTGAGGCAACGTGTAGCTCGTCTTTCACACACCCACTCGTTCTTACACTGAGCCTCAGGGGACGACAAATCCACGAACAAAAAAGAGTCCAAAGCAACCCCTGTTGAAGAGTGTCCAGATTCGCGTCTTGCGTGTCTGGTGAGCATTCGTTGGTTGACTTGCTGCAATGCCTGCTTGCCATTGGTCTTGAGAAGAGAGTCTACCTTGACCACTGATACACAAGACGAGTACGACAAGCGGTGGTATCCCGATGTCGTGCGAAAGTGCGGGCAACAGCAACCGAGAAAGTATGAAGTGAGCGAAGCCAGCCACAGACAGACCTGCTTTGCATGCCTTACTTTTCGTTGCAGGACCGATGGCGAATCGACCATGAGATGGGTTGGTGGGGCGCTGCCTACTTCGGGGAGGTCGACGTTGCTTTGGTCATGACCTTACAGGGCTTCTTCAGCGAAAGCGCGAACTCCTGCAATTGTCGGGATGCAAGGCCGTTTTCTCTACCCGACATCGCTCTCCCTCTCTCGTTGTTTCTCCTGGTCCCTCTCGCTCCTGTCTCGGTCTCTCTCTTTTCAAGGTTGGCTCCTTGCTGAGGCCATGCGCATGGGCATTGTCTTCATGAAGCCCACAGATCCGGACTGGGGAGCTCGTGGCGTGACAGTTTCTGGGGCACTTCCCTCGCAGTTGCCTGCTGGCTGCAACTTCTTTCTTTCGTTTGCATCATTTATATTGTCATTTTGATCATTTTGTGCCCACCGGTGCTCTTGCGCCCTGGTCGTGCTAGCGGCGCACGTGCCATCTCTGCATGGCAGAGAGACGGCTTCATGACTCGGTTGTAATTTGACCAGAAGATAGCCCAGACCAGGGCGAAAGCAAGAGGTATGCAAGGTTCCGCTTAGAAAAGGACGACCCTCTTTAGACGCGGTGGCTTCTTGTGGCAAAGCTTGGGACTGCCTGGACACCAGAATGGATGTGCACACTTCACTGCCTCAGCATCACTTGCCAGCATCCGACAGCCTCGCCCTAAGCTCCGAGAAGCAACCACCAGACCGATCTTGCTCAGGAGTAATCTCTGGCCTGGCGCGAAGAACTTCCCTCCCTGTCTCCGAGTGATCTTCAGCTGGGCCTCTCGGCCCATGCAACCTTGGGTGCGGCTTCCATTTTCGGATTGAGGAGGTGGTCCACATGGTATTCCGATGGACTCATGGCAAGATCACGCGCCGAAGTTTGCTTGCGTCACCCGTAGATGTAAGGCTTCTGTGAAGCTCATGGGTCTTGATCTCAGAGTGATCTCTTGACAGATTTTCAGGCAGAGCGCTGTGATGTGGAGCTTGGCGCCATGTGGACACTCGACGAAACTTCGTAATGCTCATCGGGCTTTCGGGCTAGTCGGGGTCGAAGGAATGGAAGTGGTGGCGAGGTCGATGTTACAGATCACGTAGTGTTGCAGTCACTGTGTTTTACTACTACCACCACCGCAGCGTGGACCACAACGCCGCAACGCCCGCGACCTCGAGTACGACCACGACTACGACGACAACCGACAACAACGACGACCAGCACCAATACTGGCACCGGTGCTAGGACTACGACTACTGCCATGGAATTAACACTGTCAATAGTCGTGTCATTTGGTTTTGCTATTTTGGGCGGCTTAGATTCAAGAAAAGTCGCATTTGAAAACTCTTCAGCCCTGACCCTCTCTCATCCAGAAACACCGGCTTGTAATGTGTATGGTGGCATGGAGGAAGGCAGCTGGCGTGCGCATGGCCGACCTGCTCATTGCTACGGACCGAGATTGGAAAGAGTTATGTGCAGACTTCCCGTTACGAAGAACTCTATGATGAGCATTGCAAGAGGCTTCGGGTGTCCAGCTCAACTTGCAAGTCCTTGTTTGTCATTTGTCGAAGAAGGGTTCCTCTGGCATGAAACTCACGCAAACGTTCGGCTTGGCTCTTCGCGATTGCCGGTTGCACAAGCTCCACAGGGACGTCTCTCGGAGAGCAATCGAAAAGTTCATTCAACCAGAAGTTTGTGCGCCTAATATCCAAAGCCTCTGATCCGTCGGAGGAGTTTTTCCTGACTTTCGCTTCCTGCAACTTGGAGACAGCGACGAGCGACGGCCGTTGCGCCCATGTGATGCGTCCGCTCGGTAGAGCCAAGGTGTCTCGGCATTGGATTGGATATCCATGGATTTCGACTGAACGAAAGCGCTTGTTGAAGAGAAGCCGGACACGCTGGCAAAGCAGCCAAATTTTGATTGTACTGCTTTTCACCGGAGCTGCAGGTTTACCTCCTCGACGAGAGCTTCGCCCCCATCGAGGCCAATATTTGCAACCTCTCAGAACTCAGAACCAGAGTAAACATAGTCTCCAGCCGCGTGCTGTGTGTTTAGTGACGCGTGACCTCACGCTCGGGCCCACCGACCGGCACAATTTTAGCCGAATTCAAGAGTTAGTAGCTCATACGGCTGTCACAACTAGCTAGAGTATCGGCGACGTCCATGCTATGCGGAGGCCTCCGACGGAGAGGTGTCGGGCTTGCTGGGTGTGGCCGGGCCGCAGGCGGGGCAGGGGCCAGGGGCAATGCTGTGGCCCTGGAACCCATCACGTATGCAAGCAGATGAAAAACTGCAGTTCTCTGGGTTCGGATAGCGCGCTGGGTAGTCTAATGGTCGAATGGTGGCAGCCTCAAGTGTTCCTTCGTGATTCACAGGCTCACGTGCTTGATGTTTGCCTTTTCTCGCCTTAACTAAACTTGGTGTCTTGAACTGACTCTCCAGTTCCGAACTCCTCTTAGCTGTTCAGTGAAAGACGGATATCCAGTCTATCCTTACTGTACTGGCATCTGCCGTTCAGGTCACGCCTGGCTATGTCGAGCGCTGGCAGCTTAGATCACTTCAAAACATTGCTGCGAGCTCGCGGCAAATCCTCGAAGAGACGTCTTGACCTTCTGAGCTGTAATAAACGTGAAGCTGGCATGCACAAAGCTCTCAAAGCAAATTCATTTTCTGTGACGGGTCTTTTGGAAGCACCTTAGTCTGCTTCTACCTTATCATACGGATCAGGAGCTTCTGTTTGCTGTCTTTCCTGCCACGCCATGCTAACAGCTAGAGTCAGCTAGAGGCCTCGATGACGGATCCGTGACGATTGGCTCGGGACCCCTCAGCCAAGACATGTTCAAGGCTCGGGGACGGTGACTCTCCCTCCCCTTGTAGGGTTGATGCCTGCAACAAGCACTTGCTGGCAGGTGATTGATGGTGACTGGGCTGCTGGGCGCACTTGGTACCAGTCTGCGTGCCTGCATCGTTGATGCTTGGTTGTCCTGTTGCCGTGTCGCTGTGGCGCTTAGGTCGCAGTGCCGAAGGACATCATGAAGAAGCAAGGCGATCGTTACATCAGTGTGGGCCGAGGCAGAAAGAGCTTTGGGACAGCCCTAGGTTCCGCAGAGCTGCCTTTCTCTTCCTCAGTTCCTTGAGGTGGTGGCACCGTGAAGGTGAAGGGTGGAGTGCTCATGGCCACCAATGTTGCCGAGGCCCGTTGCCTGCAGGAAGCAGATCTGAGATGCTCCCTAAGGACAGGGTGAGCCTGGAGCCGTCAAGCTTTCGCTTTTGTGGCTCAAGCCTCATTTTGGCTCCCGTGCCGTATCCTTGCACCGAGCCATGTTTGCAACCGACCTCTCCGTTACTGAAGATATCCATGTACTGCTGCTTCAAAGCTCCCATGAGCTGACGGCCACCACTGTGTACAAGGAGCTGGCCCAGCCCATCCACCCGAGCTACGTCTTCCAACGCTTTACTCAAGTTGCTGCCGTGACCGCAGCCGTGACGATTGCTTTGTTGCTCCTCTACGATCTGCTGTTTGGTCTGAGGGTGAAGTACCCCAAGCGAAGCCCACGAAAGCTGTCCGACACGGAGCTGGCTTTGCTGACGGGCGCTTTCGCTGCGGAGTGGTTTCTGAGCGACCAGTTCCTGCCAAGCATTCCAGACATCGCGGCGGAGTTCCAGGTGGAAGAAGCCAGCATCGGCGTCACGCTGCAGATGCACCAGGCTGCTAGTGGCATTTCTTGCTTGTTCGTTTCGCCCCTGTCCGACCGAATCGGGCGAAGACCTGTGCTCCTTGCTGGGATGAGTCTCCTGGTCGTGAGCACCCTCTGTGCCGGCAGCGCGGTCAGCTACCATTGGTTTGTCTTGGGCCGCATTCTGCAAGGTGTCGCGCAGTCCACTGCAACTGCTTCACTCGCGCTGCTCCGCGACTGCTACGAGGACGAGACTGAACGAATGGCGAAACTCTCCGTCTTCGCCGTGGTGGGGCTTTTCGCCCCCACACTGGCACCCAGCGTGGGAGCACTCCTGGCCGCCTGGATGGGCTGGAGGTTCTCGTTCCTGGCGAGCGTTCCTCTGCTAGTTGTCATCCTGGGCGGGCTTGTTTTGCGGCTGGAGGAGACGGTGCCGGAGAACGCTGGCGAATCGATCTTCCTGGCGGCGAAGCGGACTCTGTGCCACCTTCGCCGCTTCCTGATGATTGTAACACAAACTGTTCTGGTCTCCATGGTCACAATCATTGGTGCCCGACATGCTGTGAACCTGGAGGAACAGTATGGCTTGCCCCTCACGCAATCAGCCTTGGTGATCTCGTTCTTTTCAGCGCCCTCGATATTTGCGGCGATCTTGGTGACATGGCTGGAATGGACGCCACGCCGTATATATTTCACCATGGCCCCGCTTCTGCTGCTGACCGCCATCGTGAAGATCGTGGTGGGCGTGTTCTTTGTAAAGAGCTTGTTGTGCTACATCGGTGCCTACCTGTTTTTCTCTTTGATGCCCATAGCCGTCGTCATTGCCATCAGCACCGAGTTTCCCCAGGAGATGCCGGACATCGCTGGGGCGGCGAGCGCCTTCTTCAACGCTGGGCCCCTCATCATGGCCTCCATGCTCTCGCTGCCCGGCCTGGCCCTGGCCAAGGACCACGGAGCCTCCGGCCTGATGATCGCTGGCGCCGTCTACCTGATACTTCTGGCGCTTGGGACGCTTCTGCTCGGCTATACGCTTGGTGAACCTGCGGAGGTGAAGGGAGATCCGACGCTGTGCAATGGTGATCCAAAGAGTGAAGAGCCGACACCCAATGAGGTGCTGAAGAATATCCCAACACAGTAGTCTTGATTCAGGCTAGCTTGTCATGTCATGTATTGACGTCAACTGCGCTGCCTGACACAAGCCTGCAGGACATAGCAACCGGCCGCGTACCCATCCCATGGGATTAGCGATTGCTTCGATTAATCTGATTACTCTGCCTGAGTAGCCCAAGCGATGTCCTGCATGCAAGAGTAGAACTCGTGGACTTTGTCGCGGAGCCTTGCCAGCCTTGTGCGAGTGTGAGAGTCGAAATCTGATTGTGAAAACTGGGTGGGGCCTTCGTGCAGTGACCAGGTAAAGCTCGAAAACGGCGGTGCGGTGGCCAGCGCGTGCATCACAGACCCGTTGCACGTCGAGGGCGGGAGCACTGTGGTCCTGGCCCCTTGCACTGCATGCTTGAGTCTCGTTTGTACCCCAAACTGTTGTAGCAGTGGTAAGCAGTCACTTTCAAAGTTGAAGCATGCATTGACATAAACCGCCACCGGCGCATCCAAGAAAGTAAGCCTTGCTAGTGGTAGTAGTGGCAGTCGTGGTAGTACAGAGGCAGCAGCAGCAGCGTCAGGAGGAGGAGGAGGAGGAGTCGTAGTAGTATTGGTAGTGGTGGTAGTCGTGGTAGTAGTTACAGCGGCAAGAGCAGCGAAGTAGCAGAAATAGGCAGTAGAAGTAACAGGGGTAGGAGTAGAAGCAGCACTGGTACTATTGTCAGTACCAGCTAGTAGTACCTCGTCGTAGTAGTAGCAGCAGCAGCCGGAGGAGGAGTAGTAGTCGTGGTCGTAGTCGTCGTAGTCGGAGTCGTAGTCGTAGTAGCAACAGCAGCAGGAGGAGGAGTAGTAGTAGTAGATAGTGGTTACAGATCGTAGATACAGTAGTGGGAAGCAGAAGTAGAGCGTAGACCAGTAGGAGATAGTAGGAGTAGGTAGTAGGTTGGGTCGTAGCAGCAGCAGGAGTAGTAGTAGTAGCAGCAGTAGCATTAACAGCAGCAGCAGCAGGAGGAGCAGTCGTAGTAGTAGTAGCAGTAGTAGTAGTAGGAGGAGGAGTAGTAGTAGTAGTAGTAGTAATAGTAGTAGGAGTAGTAGTAGTAGTAGCAGTAGTAGTAGTAGTAGTAGCAAGTAGCAGCAGCAGCAGCAGCAGGAGGAGGAGGAGGAGGCGGAGGAGAAGGAGGAGGAGGAGGAGGAGGAGTAGTAGTAGTAGTGGTAGGAGTAGTAGTAGTAGTAGTAGTAGTAGTAGTAGTAGTAGTAGTAGTAGTAGTAGTAGTTGTTGCTGTAGTAGTAGTAGTAGTAGTAGTCGTCGTAGTAGTAGTAGTAGTAGTAGTAGTTGTAGTAGTGGTAGTAGTGGTAGTAGTGGTAGTAGTGGTAGTAGTGGTAGTGGTAGTGGTAGTAGTGGTAGTAGTAGTAGTAGTGGTGGTGGTGGTGGTAGTAGTAGTAGTAGGTGTAGTAGTAGCAGTAGTAGTAGTAGTAGCAGCAGCAGCAGTAGTAGTAGTAGGAGTAGGAGTAGGAGTAGGAACAGGAGGAGTAGTAGTATTTTAGTAGTAGTAGTAGTAGTAGTCGTAGTCGTAGTGGTGGTGGTGGTGGTGGTGGTGGTGGTACCAGCACTACTAGCAGTACTAGTGGTAGTACCGCTGTAGCTACTACGACACTGAAAGTCCCTGCTAACAGTTACCACGACTTGACCAGTGAATTGGTACGATACCGACTGCCACGCAACCAGAAACTGAGATGGTATACATTGTGCGTAACTGCCTTCTAAGATAGTTTACCAACAACACACACACAAACACACACACTCACAGAGACAGAGAGACAGAGACACTCACGCACAGAAACACAGACACAAGGACAGACACAGACAACGTACATGCACTCACATTCTGTCTCGATCTGAAAGCTGACAGGAGCTGCGGGAGCGAGATGCTTGGACCCTCCGCGACAGCTTGCAGCAGGCTGGGGATGTGTGCCGGAACGGTCACGTCATAGACACTGAAGCTAAATCGAACACAGAAAGTGGACTTCAAGCAGGTTGGAGCCTAGTCCTATCTGGATTGAAGTTGCTGAAGCGAAGTCCCATCGAAGTGAAAGAGCATGACTTTCAAAGTAGCCCAGCCTCCCGAAAAAACACTGATTCGCAATCGCCCCAGAGCTCAGCAGGCCAGACATGCCATGGCCGTCATGTATGAGACTGAAGTCCGTTTTGCTTTCACGGGGCCGGCTGCCAATGGCTGTAGCGGCGCGCGATACCAGCCTGAGGCGAGCTTTTTGCGGCTGCCAGTGCTCTTCACGCGGATGCTCGGCAGCAGAGGATGGGTCGCTGAGTGAGAGCATGATTCGAGGTTTCCGCGGTCAAGCGGGGAAAACCAGTCGGTCAGTGTAAACAGGCAATGAGAGCAACAGCAGCCCGACTTGTAGCGACGTTCGAGGCATGACCAAGGGTCCTTGTTGAAAGGTAGAGCAGGGGTCAGGATGCAAGCATCAAGTCTGGACATACAGTATACATGAATGATAAGAACCTCTCGGTTCCTCATGTTGTAACATTGACCTTGAGTTGGCAGCGGCGTGAAGTCTTGATGCCAAGCAGCTCTAGCATGCTGGATCACAGCAAGAGAGGCACACTGCCTCCGGTCCCTGCTTGGAAACCTCCTGACTCTTGGCGCTTGAGGAAGATGCTGCGGAATGCGAGCACTGGTACCTCTGCCTGCAACAGGGGAATGTCAACTTGATCCAAAGGTCACGCAACATTGCCCCACTCCGAAAGTGCAAGGCATGAATTGCCATATGCCGCTTGAGACAAGCCCCAGGCTCCTGGCTGCTCCCTCTTGAACTCATTGACACAGTCGGCTTAGAGGTCTAAAGATGGCTTAAAGCTTGATCTGTGCGCCCGTGCTCTGGCCTGGTGCAGAAGGGGCTTCGTTAGTTCTTTCGGGCTTGCGTGGCTTGGAATCTGGAGTGGAAAGGGGTCAAAACCGTACCCAGCAACGATCGGGCGGCTCTTGCTTTCGCATGATTTAGGATACAAGCACTAGACATCCCTCGTGCCAAGGGAAGGTCCAGCGGAGCCTTCTGCAGGACTTCGTGCAGTCAGGGTGTTCGTCGGGACGAAGTTGAGGCAGTTCGACGATGGTTACACTGTAGTTCTAGGAGAGCTTGAGGGCCTTGAGGAGAACAGTGAGGGTACTCAAGTTTCAATTAATTCTCTCAGTGCCCGTTGGTTAGAGGTTATCAGGTACTATAGTCTGGGGTTTCGGGAACAGGGGCATCTCTCATACCTTTCCACAGTTTACCCGTTTACCCTTCAGACACCAGGAGGAGAGGAAGGCAGAGTTGGAGCTGGAGTTGCAAGCTCAAGCAGCAACTCATCGGGCACAGGAATCGCAGGCCGGATATGCATTCAGAGCTCTTTGGCATACTCGGGCGCAGATTTGCGCAATTATCACAAACATGTCACATGTGTGTGTGTAGCGTATGTGACCGCGCTGGAGTATTCCTTTATCTAGCTACCTACCTGCATACAGTACCTGGCAATCCAATCTGTTTATGGCTCGGTCTATCGATCTCTCGATCTTTCCGTCTATCGGTCCATCGACCTGTCGACCTATCGATGTATCTGTCCATCCCATGTTCCTGTGCGTCTCTTCGTGCAAGTGTACATACATACATGCCTACGTACGTCCATACGTACGTGCATACAGAGACGGACGGACGGATTGGCAGACATAACTATGCCATTCTACGAGCTTATCACCTGTGGTGATGCCACCTCCACCACTCTTCTCTTTTGCTGACGAGGTGGAGTGGTACCTGAAGCTGGCGAGGCCAGAGCTCAAAGTTTCGAGGAGGGGGGCAATAACGCTTAAAAGGGTTTGATGTAGTTAGAATTCGCTTGTTGTACACCCTGCTCAGCAATACAGGAAGCGAAAGGTAATTAGTGAAAGACGTCACTTGTACGATCGGTACGAATAGAGGATGAGGAGAGTGCCCATCTCCTGAGGGTTTCAGGCTGAGTGATGCTGCTGTCGCAAGGTAGGCGTGCGGCGAGCCGAGGTTTCGTGTGGTTACAGGGTAACATGAGTCGATTCTCCTCACAGGCGGCCACTTCTCGCCGTCCTGCTGGTGCAGGGCGGTACGGTAATTCGTCTTGGTCAGGCAGGAAACTCAGGAGGTGTTCAACACTTCTGCTTGCTTCATGCCCCGGCACGGTTTTTTGATTGATTTGTGGCTTTGTCTGTGCGTGATCTTGCGTGTGTGTGTGTGTGTGGGGAGCGTCGGACTTGAAAAGGTTGCTGTCTGGTTTCGATGGTCGCTGTTCCAGGCCCTCCTGGCAGCCAGCCCATCTTTGCTCGCATGTGCGCTCGCGGGCGTCGTGAAGGAAAGTGTCAGCTGCTTAGTCGGCTCGGACTCGACCGGGCGCCGCGACTGCAGGAGCAAGAGGCTGCCGCCCAGACGCTGGACGATGCAAAGCCCGCACAGCACTGAGGTCTTACAGCTCTGCCTCGTATCCTGGAGCTACGGCGCCCGGGCCAAATTGAAGCCAGTCAGTCGTTGTCGTACCAGTAGTAAGTAGCAGTAAGTAGCAGTAGCAGTAGCAGTAGCAGTAGCAGTAGCAGTAGCAGTAGCAGGAGCAGGAGCAGGAGCAGGAGCAGGAGCAGGAGCAGGAGCAGTAGCAGTAGCAGTAGCAGTAGCAGAAGTAGTAGTAGTAGTAGTAGTAGTAGTAGTAGTAGTAGTAGTAGTAGTAGTAGTAGTAGTAGTAGTAGCAGTAATAGCAATAGTAGTAGTGGTAGTAGTAGTAGTAGTAGTAGTAGTAGGGGTAGTAGGGGTAGTAGTATTAGTAGTTGCGAACGGACTGCGATGCCTTGTCAAGTTCTAAGGTGTCACTATAAGAGCTGTGAGCAAGACCGTGTAAAGTGCAAGAGAAGGGGGCACGCTACGCGTCCCTCGACTCTAGGGGGCATGCTACGCATCCCTCATCTTTACCTTTCTATGTGACCGCCAACGCAACGTTTTGGCTCAAGTCAATGCCCATAGCTAAGTGCTATATGTGTCTTCTATCCTGAGCAATCAGAGCTATTCCGTTGCACAGACGAACCGCCGCCGGCAGTGAGTGCAAAAGGAACGGCCGACGGTTCTGCCTGCATAGGATTGCACGTGTGGAAGTAAGAGGGAGAGACAGGGTCCAGTCTGTGGAGAGTGCAAGCCAGCCACACCTACATTCATTACAGCTCTGGTGGGGAGAGCAGCAACCAAGTCGAGATCAATCCCCCACGCAGGTTATCAGCCGTACGCGGCTCTGCCTTTCTACAGCAACGACTACTTGATCTACTACGACCACAATGAACTCAGGATCAAGCCAAGAGACGACAATGACTTTCGGTGCCGATGTGGCAGCGCCAGCCGTTGGTGAGTCAACAGCTGATGACACAGTGGTGCAATCCGTTGATAGCTCCACGGAAGATGACAAAGGTCAATCTTCTGCGCTTGCCATTGCAAAGGCAGTTCCCAAGGGGAAAGCAAAGAGTCTACCAAGAGCATCTACGCCTTCGCGTCCGACATCCACAGGTTCGAGGACGGGCAAGGCTTCAGAACGACGGGCCGAAGCGTCTGGTTTTCAGGCACCTCGGACTACGTCCAGGGCTAAGGACAAAGGAGTCAAGACCTTGGAAAAGAAGTCAAGACCATCATCTTCGAGAAGCTCTTCAGCACGATCGAGGACTTCGGCTACCCGTGGGCGTGACAAGTCCATGACTTGGAATCGGATGGTTACCAATCAACCACGCGATACTGACGATCTGGACATGACTCTGGATACGATTCCTGCACGTGGTGATGCTTCATCCGTGGCCACGCCTGCCATAGCTGATGGTCCGAATGCCTATCAGGAATTGACGATTTCGCAACAGTTCGAAGCATCGAACCTTGCACAGCAGATGTACTATCGCAGTCAGGTGCAAGAATACGAAGGAATCGTCCAAACCCTGATGGACAAGATCAAGGAGATGCAACAAGAAGATGAAGGATCTGGAATTCGCATTGAAGAATTGGAACGACAACGTGACCATGCATGCTTAGCAATGAGGCACATCAACAATGTCAATCAGGAGATGAAGCGAGACTATGAAACAGCTTTGTTTCGCATGGATGAGCAGAACTCTGCTCAACAACGTCAAGCACACGCCGTTGCCGAGGATTTAGCTCAACAGCTACACGTGTTTCGAACGGAGGCAGCCACCAACTTTGTGCAGTTGGAGGCAAGAGCGCAAGGCGATGGTGAGCTTATGGCACGTGAGTATGAGCGTCTGACTCATGAACTTCATGAACACGCCAGAGAGAACTTGGTCCTCCGGTCAAGCACAGCAAGTTCGGAACAAGCCTTACAAGCAATGCAGGAACGATTCCACTTGGTCAAGAACCAGGAGTTGCGGGCTGTGAACGAGATCCAAGGGCTAGCTGGAAACAGCGCAGCCATTGACCAAGAACGATTTCGGCTTCGCGAACGTCTTGGTGAAGAGGAAGAGTACCGCAAAATGGCTGTGAAGAGGATGCAAGAAGCAGAGGAACGACTTCATCAGAATGAAGATCATGCAAGGCGATCATTGCCTACCTTGCACGACGAGCTGAGTGAACTCAGGAAAACGCTCAAAGCACAAGAAGATCTTCAAGCGAGGACACGCAGCGAATTGGATGCAGCGCGAAACTCCAATCAAGGAGGAGCGACGCGACCTTCGAGCATGCCCATGTCTTCGAGGACTACTGAGTCTGGCTGGGAGCACGTAGGAAAGGAAGTAATGCCTGCATTTTCCGTAGGAGATGAGGTACGATCCCCTGAAATACGGTCCCCAAGTCAAGTTAGTCCAGTCGCCAAAGAGAAGTTCGCATTCTCGGAATCGGACAAGGACAAGAACCTTGTGATGGATGGAATTCCATTCACCGGTGGAAACTTCTTCACTGGCCGCAGTTCAATGCCAATCGTGGCGGATGCAATGCCCGAGCACTACGTGCCAGGTATTAGCAGCCCAGCACTTGCGCGTTCCACGCCTAGTGCAGCCACTTTGTTCGGCATACCAAGCGGATTTCATGGGAAAAGTGATGCGGCAGCCGTGCGTGATCGACAGCTACGCGAACTCTTGGGGGATCGCGGGATGTTGGGATCGAAGTCCACAGCATCGGCCAGCTCCTCAAGACCTGTTGGTATCGACGGTGTTACCGCATCTACTAAGGGCAACGACCTCGTTGGTCCCCCCATTGCCTATGACGATTCCATTCATGAAGCAAGAAGACGTCAGATCGAGAAAGAGATCGCGGAACAGTACGAGGAGAAGATTGCTGATCTGCGAAGTGAAGTACTCAAGGCTCAGAAAGCCGAACAACGTCTCAGAGCTGATCGTGATGAGTGGAGATTATTCGCTGAAACGATTCAGGAAAACAATGGAGACGGTGACGGTGATGAAGCTGGCGACGAGAACGGAGAGGACGAGCATGATGAAGGTACCGGCACGGGGTATGATCCTCCAGATCCGCCTGATGATGATGATGACAAGAAGAAAGGTGGAGGGGGCAAACCTGATTCGGATCCTGGCTCACATGCGCGTGATCCTGATGGAGACGCGGATCCTGAAGTCACAGAGGTGAGAATTTCCAGGAGGGAAGCCGACAAAGTGACCGTTCCTCCATGGCCTACTCTCACTCATCTCAACAACTGGCGATCCGTGTGCACGGCCAATGTCTTAGGAGCATCAGCCGACCCACATCATGAGGACTGGATGTTATGGCTGGCACCAGCGTTCAACCCATTCCCTGATGTCGAAGCATTGAATGATTCAGGACACAAGAAGTTCAAGAGCATAGACGTCAAATTGGGGATCGCCATGGTCGCAATGCTACGTGCCGGTGGTGACAAATCAGCTGACCTGTACCTCGAGGTGAACCGGAAGGCCAACGATTACATCAGCAGGCCTGACGTGAAGATCATCAAAGGACGACAAGTCATCGCGATGATGTACGAAAGTTTTCGAACGCATGATCGTCTTGACATGATCATCACTCTTGAGTATTTGGTGAAGCTCCAGTACCAAGGCGACAACAAGCTCCATACGTTCAAGCAGACGTGGTTGGAAGTTCTGGGACGGATGAGACCAGAGGACATTCCATCCAAAACAGCTCTCCGTGATTGCTTGTACAGCAAGATCAAGGACTCGCCCGCAATGAAAATGGACTTGGGCATGCATTACGAACACTTGCCCTACAATCATGAAGATCGATCGTACGACAACCTGATGAAGATCATCGATCGTACCATCATGCGGAGGCGAGAACAGTCCAATCTCACTCAGACTCAAATTGGCTTGCGCCAGATGCTTGAGGGCAAGGATTTGCTTGCTGCACCGGCCAAGGTACCCGAGAAACCTACGCCTAACGCAGCTCCATCCGCAAAGGTCAAGGCTTCGCCGACCAAGCCGGACAAAGCA